AGGTTGCATTTTTGGATTTTTTTCTTATTTATGAGATCTTGTTTTCTAACATTTTGTATCTCTGTACTTTTCACCACCCCCCCTATTCCCTAAATGTTTATAAACATGTAACCATTAACAAAGTCCTCTATGAATCAGATAAGCGCTTGCGTTTTCATTTTACAACCAAAAAAAAACCCCAATTGTTAATTATTGGAGAAACTTTATTGTTATTTCGTCCCGACCCCCCGCCCCTCCATTTTTTAATATTAACAAAGTCATCTATAAACCAGCGCTTTGATTTTCATACATTTTAACGGTTCATAAAATTTGAAGAAATACATTTGATCACTATGACCTATTCTAATTATAAGAAAGCTTAAGTTTAATGCCAAGTTTAAACTTCATAATGTTTTGTCTATAAAGCCAGTGAAAATATTGCATGTGAAGAATATATTGGATAAAGTTAGATCATTAAGCTTCTATTCAAGATTTAAACAGAATGTTTGCTTTTATTTTACAAGCAGAATAATTATTCCATGGAAATCAAAGCAATGTCCTCATCAAACATAGGTTAAACAATTAGATATTGGAAATCCCGACAATTCACAAAAAAAAAAACATTTCGAAAAAAATGGGACCAAAGATAAAAACTTTTATTAGGAAAGAAAGCCATTTATCAAGTCGAGTAAATGTAAATTTGGATTTTCAGCAGGTAATAGGAATAAAGGGAAAGGAAATGGCCCTGGTCTGGCATGAGAAAGCCAGTCGCACTGCTTTGCAGACGAGTTCGTAATTCCTTACAAACACTCTTTTGATACAGACACACAACATGACTAGAGTCAAGGAAATTGCCGAACAATGTCGTCAATTATAATTAAGCTTGAATAACGAGTAGTTTATTGTAAACTTTAATCAAATTATATTCTTTGCATGAAAATTTGGCATAGTGTTGACTTAAATGTATAAATAAAATAAATATATGTATATGCATATTAAACTTACTTTTAAGTGAACAATTAACAATAAACAAATGTACTCTCGCCTAGACTGTACAAATACTGAGATTCGTGTGAATTGTATATACCTACAGTACACAACTTCGGTTCGGTTTTCCTTACACACACTCTTTTGGTGCAGACACACACACATGACGTTTCCGCTCCCTGATTTTCAGCCACACATTATAGAAACCCCATGTTTATTGTTTGGTGTCACAGTCATTAAGGGCAGACCACACAATATTAGGTGGCACAAACCGAAGACTACATTTAAAATAGTCTTATTATTGTTACCTGACTGAATCCGCCAGGCTTCTGTCCTCGGCACATCACGCATTTTGTCGTCGTCGGCCAATTGTCGTATGTACAGTAATCACAACGCCATTTTCTTTCTCTTTTTGTAAACTCGGAATCCTAAAAAAATTATATTATTTAATAATTTAAAATTTCAGAGAGCTTGGCATAAATATGTCGTCTTCGTGAACAATGAGCAATAATCAAAGAGAACAGAATATATATTAGAGGGGAACTTAGAAAATCTCTCAGTATGAATTTTTTCAGTCCCTTTCAGCCTGAAAGGGAGTTCAAAGTGTACAAATCATGTAAATGTTCACAAATTATATGCAGTAGAGTACATTAATACAGTATGTTCCCTAAACTATCCATTTCAATTTCGAATTTTTTAAAGCTGTTAAATAATCTTTATAATGAATTAGGTGAATAAAAAACATCATTTGATTTATAGTTATAACGGAAAATCATCGTTTGTAAAGTGAAAGGCATAGAGTCTATGTGAAATGATCATTGGTCAATTATGAAACCAGCCTATTTCATAATTTGGTTTTATTTTAATATTAATTTTAGATTTTCTATAAAATGATATTTCAGGGCCCAAAGGTTTTATAGCATAAATATGTGAAGTGCACAATAGGAAACGCACATTATTAAATAAGGAAAACCCTAATTACAAAAATAAACAATTCGTTATTGTTTAATAAAACAATTAATACATACCGGAGTTACAGGTTGCATTTTTGGATTTTTTTCTTATTTATGAGATCTTGTTTTCTAACATTTTGTATCTCTGTACTTTTCACCATCACTGGTCACATCATTTCGAATTCATCTTTTTTAAACAGCAGGTTCTGGATAATTAAAGTTTATCAACTTTTCTATTTGTTATTTGAAGAGTTAGATTGCGTAACTGCTTGAAATGTTTGAACTGCATGAACTGTATCTGCCTGGGTTTTCAAGTCAGATGTTCACGCTTAGCGACTTTCAGCCTGAAACGAGATACATACAGGTATATAAATATAGATAGAGAAATAGATATAAAGAAAATAAAGATTAATAGATTTATTTAACAAAGTATATCCTGCAGTTATATACATACTAAATGTATATAGATATAGATATAAAGAAAATAAAGATTAATAGATTTATTTAATAAAGTATATCCTACACTTAGATACATACTACAGGTATATAGATAGAGAAATAGATATAAAGAAAATAAAGATTAAAAGATTTATTTAATAAAGTATATCCTACACTTAGATATATAAAACAGGTATATAGATAGAGAAATAGATATAAAGAAAATAAAGATTAATAGATTTATTTAACAATGTATATCCTATAGTTAGATACATAATACAGGTATATAGATATAGAGAAATAGATAAAAAGAAACTAAAGATTAATAGATTTATTTAACAATGTATATCCTGCAGTTAGATACATACTACAGGTATATAGATAGAGAAATATATATATAGAAATTAAAGATTAATAGATTTATTTAACAAAGTATATCCTACAGTTGAAAACCTTCAAACAGAATTTTTTTTATTTTTTTATTTAACTTTAAGATATTAATAAGAATTTTATAACTTGAAACTAAGCTCTTACTAAAAAATTGTGCCCTGAACATTTAGAGATATAAAATAAATTTGGAGTTTTATGGACGCCATGCTCCCTACAACTCAAACTGAGCTTACTAAATCAAAAATGAGATAGACAAAGAGGTTATATACCCGATTTACAACGGTACTATTAAAGGTTTGTCTGATCAAGTATGAATTAGATTTTCATGTTTTTGTTTCTTTTAACTGTTTGAGGTTTCCCTGCGAAAGTGACTTGCCTATGAACAGCAATAGAGAAATTTACAGAATTAAACATATGATACAGACAGAGACACATGACCAGTATACTGCACTCTCATTGGCGGAGGTTCTGGTGACGTAATACGGACGTAAAAATAATATTATCAATTATACAATAATAATTTGAGAAAACCTAAGTTACAATTAGGTTACTGGCATATCAACGTTTTCAGATTGGTTGCATAGTTAATGAATATACTATGTTTAAACCTACTATTTCTATACAAAATTGTATATTTATAAATATATATATATATATATATATATATAAGAATTTTCGTATGAATTATCAATAATTTCTCGAGACAGGAACATCAGATATAACTTTTATTGGTCGCGATCAAGAGCTTTAGTGATCAGCTTTCAGACAATACCCCCTTTAATTTTTCCTTTACAGTCACTTTAAGGCTAAGTAAAAACAAATAAAGCGGGTTATTATTACCTGCATTTAATAAGATCACAGCCGTTTATATCACAGGGAAGGGAAGAATAGAGACATCTTACCCTTTGTTAGAGTAAGCTTTTCTGAAATAAAAACAACTTTAAAATCGTCAAACGTCTAGACGTAACTAAAATATCGAATAATTTCCTCTTGCTCGATTAAAATTCTTAGAAAATAGTTTTTTTTCCCTTCAAATATTCGAGTATTTCCGAAACTGCTAAATCAGATGATATGCATAAATTTTTTTTAAATTTAATAATTCTTTAAATACTCAGCCAGTTTTTGGTGCTCAGCCTGACCTCGCATACTTTAATTTTCAGCCTGACCTCGCATACTTTAATTTTCAGCCTGACCTCGCATACTTTAATTTTCAGCCTGACCTCGCATACTTTACTTTTCAGCCTGACCTCGCATACTTTAATATTCAGCCTGACCTCGCATACTTTAATTTTCAGCCTGACCTCGCATACTTTAATTTTCAGCCTGACCTTTCATGCTTTAATTTTCAGCCTGACCTCTCATACTTTAATTTTCAGCCTGACCTCGCATGCTTTAATTTTCAGCCTGACCTCGCATACTTTAATTTTCAGCCTCACCTCGCATGCTTTAATTGGTTGTAACTTTTCTTTAAATTAAGATATCAAGCTAATTAAATAAAATTTAATCATTGCATATGGTCAGAAATTGTGTTTGTATATTTTGACCTCGATTTTTTTTTATGAGGGTATCCTCCGATCTTCGCAATTCTTTTTTAGAGATTGCCAACGATTTATTTAATGATCATTCTTAGATTTTACTTGTCGTTGGAGCTAGAGCTTTTAACCTTAAATTAGGATATTTTTTGAACATTTGCTTTACCAAAGACTACTTTTCTACCAAGAAAGACGAGTTTTATAACAGTAAAGACGACTGTAGTAGAATATGTTTGGAAAACGTACTAAAATTACGGTTGAAAAGCTCTATCTCCAATAACAATTAAAATATAAAAATGAAACTTCACATGATAATTACCCATTTCACATGATGATACCCACATAAAAAAAAATGAGGTCAAAAAATATTATACAATCTCTGAGCAATCAGTAAAAAAAAATTCATTCGAATTTAATCTTTAAGTAGTAAAAAAAGGCGTAAAAAAAGGCGTCAAAATTAGCTTGATATCTTAATTAACAAAAAAAATTACATTCGATTAAAGCATGCAAGGTCAGTCCAAAATTGGCTTATTTCTGTGCGAAATCATGGGTATTAAATTTTAAGGATTCCCCCCCCCCCCCGGGGGAAAATGACAAATTATAAATCCTTTTAGATACTTTTTATTTTTAACCCATAAATGTAAACCTTACTTCAGAGAGGAAAAATATTTTCAAAAAAAGGGGGACCCCCTCCCCCTTTTTTGAAAATATTTTTCCTTTTTTGTCAATTTTAAGTTTAAAAACAACTTTGCTCCCTAAAATTTTGAAAAATATAAATAAATTAAATTAATGCGGTTAATCTTGGTGAAGTTTTGACCGAGAAAGATTTGTATTGACATAGATATTTAAAGAATTCAAAAATAAATTAGCATTTCTCAGACTGCTCAGACAGCAACAGAAAAAAAAGCAAATGACTGTTCTCAAAATATAAGGGAGAAAAAAGAACTAATTCTAATCATTAAATCAAAGGGTATACGTCTATTTTTGTATTGACCCGAAATTGTATACTGCATATCCATAGTATCTGCTAGCGTTAAATGAGTGCAGCGTTTTATAAGGTAGCGTTTTATGGAAGTAGCGTCTTATGAGTATGAGTGTATCGTTATTCTGGTAAACCATATAGGCTTATAGCTATGCATGTCCTATATAATGAGCAGCAAAAGTAGGTAATTTTGGGTTCTAAAATATCAATCTCGTCATACAAAAAAAATGTAATTAAAATAATATCTCTGATTTCATTTTCAAATTATTGATCATTTTTTCATCTTAAACTGAAAACTTTAAACTAAAATTAAACTAATTTATTGAGTAAGACTAATAATTATCAAAAATGATCCAATAATTGGAAAAAACTAAAATAATCTTACAACAGATTTTTAAAAAAATTTTCGGTAATTTCTTCATGAACGATTTTTGGACACCCCTTATACTAGGAAATTACCAAAAAACTAACAGAAATTGTGAAACTTTCTAAAATAATTTTGAAAAAGGAGGAAATAGGGTTTCAATTAATATAAATTAAATTAATAAAATTCTAAACTTGTATGAAATTAACATTTATTTAAGCACTCTTCAACCGATTGTCTTGGTTTGAGATAAAACCCATATTGCACATCGCAGCAAATAATAAATCGAAAATTTCACATGTAACCATATAATAAAAATGTTTGCGTTTAATCAGTTTTGAGTCACTTAACACTAAGCTATATATTTCACAAATATTACGAACGTCACAGGAACTGAATTATTATTTTTTTCAACTTTAACTTGATGATGACCTTGTGTCCTAGAATATTCTACCGTTCCCTCATGCTACTTGCTAGTATACAAGAACTGAGCAGTGAGCATTAGCAATAAGCAGCAGCAGAGTGGTGCTAGGAGGCTCTGCTAGACAGGTAGATAGATAGGAATCAGCTGAATAGACTGATACTGTACACTTCACACAAATAGGAACTCGCGCATTTTGTGTATTTGATTTAAATACTTTATTTATTACATAAATAATTTTTTTTTTATTATTTAAATTACATTAAATGAAAAGATAAACTCTTTTTTAACTATATCATTAACTCAGGTAAATTAATGGTGAACGTTCAACCTTTTGTGCGAGTACCTCGTCGTAATCTTTAAAATGTTAAAGTGCATATAATAAACATTCAAAAATCTAGTACTACCAATTCAATCGATTATTATTTTACTGTTAGTTATTTAACACTCACCTGCCTCTCACAAACCTAACCTTCCCCTGCCATTTGTCTCCTTTACCAAGCTCCTCCCCTTAACCATCCTTCTCCTTAACTACCTTAACCAACCTCCTCCCCAACCAACCTTCTCCCTAACCAACCTTCTCCTTTAACCAACCTCCTCCTTAACCAACCTCCTCCCTAACCAACTTTCTCCTTTAACCAACCTCCTCCCTAACCAACCTCCTTATAACCAACCTTTCTCCTATAACCAACCTCCTCCCTAACCAACCTTCGACCAACATTCTCAGCTTTAACGAACCTTCTCCTTATAAACAAACTTCTCATTATAACCAGCCTTCTTCTTATAACCAACCTTTTCCATAACCAACCTTCTCCTTTAACCAACCTTCTCTTTAAAACCAACTTTCTCCTTTAAGACCAACAGCTCTTCTCCTTTAACCAACCTTCCCAAGCTTTCACACCTTTTCGACGCATTCGAGGATTTTTGATAATGAAGACGACATTTTCATATTTTCCAGGAATGTACGAAAATCCAGCGCCAACGAAATTTATTTAAAAAAACAAATTCAAAAATGTTATGAAATATTAACTATATACGTGAATGCGTCGATAAATAATCAATGACTACTGCTTGTAATATCTAAATGATTTGTTTGGAATTAAATGGATTTGTTTACGATCCTCGAGTTAAATGTTGCATCTTTCCGAATTTGTATGTACACAATACACATACGTTCTTCGTTGCGAGTAGTTTTTAACAATTTTCTCCTATAGACGCAACAGATAGAAGTCAGATTAGTAGCGATCAAAAGCTGCGCTTTTTAATCGCTTAAGCCTATACCCCCTTCATTTTTCGCGAACACTCCCTTTAACCTCCCCCTTTCCATTCTTCCCTTGCTACTCTTAACCTTCCTAACCTATTTTATTCCCAACCTTCCGGCCCCTTCCCAACCTTTCCCTTCCCGATCTTTTCCTTCCCAACCTACAGCCAATGCATTGAATATTATGTCGATTTATTAATAATTACATCGTTTCATTCTAGAAAATATTAGAAAATATTGAAACATTTTTTTCACAGGAAACTTCAAATCAGCGAAGGAGTATTTATGGAACTAGCTAGGATTAGATAGCTTCGAATCGGAACGAAAATTTATGGAACAGGATTAGATAGCTTCAAATCAGGGATCAAGTATTTATGGAAGTTGGAACTAGTTAGATCAAGTAAATAGACAGCTTCAAATCAGGGAATGAGTAGTTATGAAACTAGTTATAGTATAGATATCAGGCAAGAACTATTAGAAATAGCTATAGATAGCTTTGAATCAGGAAAAAAGTGTCTATGGAACTAGCTATAGAGATAGCTTCGAATCAAGAAATAAGTATCTATGGAACAAGCTATATAGATAGCTTCAAATCAGGGAACGAGTACTTATGAAACTAGTTATAGTATAGATATCAGGCAACAACTATTAGAAATAGCTATAGATAGCTTTGAATCAGGAGAAAAGTGTCTATGGAACTAGCTATAGAGATAGCTTCAAATCAGAAAAGAATCATCTATGAAACTAGTTATAGTATAGATAGGTTTGAAACAGGGAACAAGTATCTATGGAACATGCTATGCTAGCTTCGGATTATGGAACAACTATTTATGGAACTATAGCAAGTGATAGCTTCGAATCAGCAGACAACTATCTATGGAACTGTTGCGGGATTTCAAACTTTCTGTACTCTTTCATCGTTTCCGTATGTTCCTAAAATAAGTTCCATAAATTGTTTAGTTAAGGAAATATCAACACATTCAAGGAATTCTTTGATTATGGAGTGTCATACATCATTCATGACAGTTTATAAATATCTTCTATTGATAAAGAAAATACGATTGGCAGTTGAACGATATAAAAGTCAAATGTAAAGTCACATTCTGTTATACATGCAACAGAGCCATGAGACTTGAAATCAAGTACTACTTTATANTCAAAAAAACGTATTTTACCTGGATTAAAAATTCAATCTTAGCTCTAAGTAAAGACTTCATTCGTTGCCGGTAAATAAGAAATTGTTCTCTAAAAAGAAATTAAATTTATTATTTCATAATGTTATCTTTATTAATCCGTCTAAAAAGAACTGCACAAATCACAATCTTATATTTTTGCTTTCTTGCAGTACACAAATTTCATTAATAATTAATTTAAACAAAATAAAAAAGAAATAAATAAGTGTAAGTGAATTTAAAACTCTGGACAGTCGTACAGTCGTAAGCAATACATAAATGGATTTTTTGTAAAATTTTACAGTAAAATGTATTAAATCATTTCTAAAGAAAACCAAAACTTACGTGTCATTTTGAATCTCTGGGTTCCCTAGTACTGCAGCAGCTGAAACAAACAAAATTAGGTTTTTACTACAGTTAGTACTTAGTTATGTATATTTCTAATACTATTTCAAATTAGACTGAAAATAAGCGGAGAGAAGGTGAAAGTAAATTTTGTAGAAAACTCGCAATTGAAAATAATCAGTTTTCAATATTAGAAACATTGATATCTAATTCATCCTTGATCAGACAAAGCTTTTATAAGAACTATTGTGAATCGGGCATTGTCATTTTGGCATGTTGGTTCACTTGAAATAACGCTTTAGAATCCCTTTGAATAGTTAAAAATAAAAATACCTGCAGTAATCTTAGCTTCAATTTCATCTCCCTTTACTGCCAACCTCTCAATATTCCTAATTCAACAAAATTGTTAATTTTCTTTAAAATACTAGAACTAAATGAGAATACACCAATATTACTAAACTGAAAGACTCAGAAAAACAGGGTTTCTTGTAAATTTCATGAAATGAAAAAAATAAGCTAATTTAGAATTTAACAAGATTTAAATAGGTTATGACAGATCATTTACAAATTATGGTACGATCAATCTCTTTAAAACTGAATTATATATTATAAAAAAGAGAACAAAACCTTTAAAGGGAGTGACCGGCTATGTAAGGTATTTGAACTGAGTATGCAGTGTTGTGGAAAACTTCTTTCGGATTCATTTGAGACATATTAAACTTTTTAAAGATCTGTAAATCCTGAGTTTGAGCGCAAATTCGACGTTCAAAACTCCTACTTTGAGGGTGGATACGTTTTCAGAATTGGTTTTTTTAAATTAATAAATAACGACAACGAAAAATAAAGTAAAAATTATACAGTAATCTAATTAGATGGTTAGGAACATATTTCTCAAAAGAAATTTGTCAATAAATCGATTATTTCGTTTTTATTATTATGTTGAATTTCTTATTTTCTTTGAATTTATTCGCCGATTTCTTCACATTCTTCAAATTTCGTCTTTTCACTTATAATTCTAGAAAATCTGCAGAAAATCTTTGTGAATAATGAGAAACCAGAATAATGAGAAAATAGAAACTAATAATTGAACAAGATTACTTATTTTCGATAATAAGATTCATTATTATTTTCTCAACATGTTCCATGACGTCTGTAGTTTATTGTAGAACTTTTTTACATTTTATGTCGTCCTTATTTTATAATTTAAAAAAAAACTAATTCTGAAAACGTATCCACCCTCTAAGTAGGAGTTTTGAACGTCGAATTTGCGCTCAAACTCAGGATTTACAGATCTTTAATATGTCTCAATGAATCCGAAAAAAGTTTTCCACAACACTCAGTTCAACTACCTTATACATTGCCGGTCACTCCCTTTAAAGCTGAATTATTAAGAATTAAAAAATGTAGACAAAAACGGCAATGCCTGATTTACAACGGTACCCTTGAAACCTTTATCTATTCAATAAAAAGGAAAACATTGTTTTTACAATTTTTAAATTTTACAATTGTTTTAATTTTTATTTGTTTTCCTGCAATAGAAAAGCCCAAGTCACATTAGTAGAGAACTCACAATTAGAAATAATTAGTTTTCAATATAATAAACATTGATATCTAATTGATACTTGCTCAGATTAAAGCTTATATTACCATTTAAAATTGGTTGAAGTTTAAGACATCTTTAAAGCCTACAATTATAGGAAAAAAATGTATTTACAGCATTAAAAAACAAACAGATAACGTTTAATACTAATGATTTTAATAAAGCCGGAGCTCTCTGGCAGACTCTGCCTTTCTTCCTGTCTCTTGTGATGGATTAAACTTCCTCTTTTCGGTTCTTCGTAACAACTAACCTCAATTTAGACTTTAGCCTGGCAAATCTTATTCCTCATGCCCTGTGGATCAAGCCTATTGACTTGAGTTTAACTTGGGGTCAACGATGGCTTGGATTTTCCAGGTGTTTTGAATCATGCAGTGGAAACATGTTTCCTAGAATGCTTTTTGATACAATCTACACACGAGGCAGTATATTATCCATCCTACTTTCTGTCTGATCTATAGCTATATTCAAAGAGCTAATAAGCTGCCATGCTTATAGGCCGGACTACTTGCAATCTGAGTTGAGCTCCAGATCCGTATGAATAAAGTGGTTACATCAATAGAACTATCCAATCTGAACGGGGTTACATCAATGGACCTATCATTATTACGAGCTATTGAGCTCATACTGGTTACACAAAAAAGAGTACCATTGTGAATCGGGCATTGCCATATTTGCATGGAGGGTCAATTGAAATTACACTTACAGCCCCTTTAAGAACTATTTTAAAAACTAAATTAGTAAGAACTATTTTAGAAATGAAACAATGTTCTTCTAATCATACCTTAAAGTTTCTGAAATTTGAGTTTGAGGAAAATCATCAGAATTCGCAACTCTTTTCCGAAGAACGTTTCCTTCCTTCTGAGTCAAGTTTTCTTTGGTATGGCTAGATGTCTCTCTGCGTCGTCTTCTTGAATTCTTGCTGTTAATGACATAGATAAGGTTTTCCCTCTCCTGCAGATCACTTAAATATAAATTATAGCTTTACAGGGATAATTTCGCCGTATTTTATATTTTTCACATTAAATGAAAAAAACATTCTCCCTTAATTAAGATTATTTGTCCTTTTTTACTTTTCCGGTTTTGATTTTTTCTGCAAAAGAAGCGTTAAATTTTTTAAATCGTTTATGTTAAGTGTGAAATTTGCTGGAGCACTGGAGCCAAACTGAACTAAATTATGCAATATGCTAGCATACTAAGTTAAATTTAGCTCTAGTGCTCCAACAAAATTTGAATTTTTATAAAATTTTGGATCCACTTGGAACTTGCACAAGTTCGCTGTGTTTGTAAGATGTTTTTACAAAACCTATAAAAGTTTTAGAAAAATTAGCCAAGGTATTGCTATCACTCATGCAGTATACCTTCCATCATCTGAACACATTTTAGGAATGCCAGCAAACCCTCCCATGTTCGCGTAGTAATCTATGAAGCTCTTCGCCACATCAATATTTAACGCGTCACCATCAAAGTTGGTCTAAACACAACGAGCTAATTAGATAAATCACTCACTCCAATCAAACTAAATCATTTTAAGAGAACTCATTTACACGCATGACTTTGAAACCTCGTAAAATATGAAAAATAACAAATTTTTAATTTTCTCAAAAACTCCTAAAATGTAACAGTCCTAAAACATAAGTTTTACTTATCCTACAGCCAGGGAGCTTCTATTTGAACTGACCGAAAAACAGCTAAACCAAACTTTTTTTTAAAGATCTAAAACTAAATTAAACATTTAATTAGCACCAAGATGACTCCGGTTAATTGCTCACATGATATTTTTAAAGGAATTGCATAAGCATAATTTTACGTGACCCTCCATTCAAAGATGGTAATGTCCGATTTACAACGATTTCAAAAATGTGGAAGATACCAACGACCGTCAATTTTCAAGCCCTAAATGTGTTTATTTTTTTTAGCTTCTCCTATGTTTCTTAAAATTATTGTAACTTCCGCGAGAAACTGCCAATGAAAATAAACAGTTGAAAGAAACAAAACTTGGATATCTAATTCTTACTTGATCAGACAAAAATTTCAAATTACCGTTTTAAATCGGGCAATTATTCATTATATTCCCTTTAAACCTGAAAAAGTTCTCCGACATTGCAAATATTCCTCCTCTGTCGGAGAATACTTCTCTCCGTCTGCCGTCTCCCCCTCAATATACCCAGCACACCTAGAGCCTCCAAACTAAGGACCAAAACTAGAAATTTCATGATTAATCTGAAAATTAATTAGGAGAATGTTAGCGAAAAATTCTGGTTCTTTTTCGGCGTAAAAGTGACAGGTCACTAAAATAAAAGAGCTGTTTATGTTGTATTTTTAAAAATCATACTTTAAATATATTTTTATATATACTTCAATTCGGCTTGTCTTGTTTGTTGTTTCTATCCAATTAACGTCGAAACAGCTGAACCGAGATCAGAACTTTTGTCATTTAATGGATATAAATCTTGAACAAGCTTGATTTCGATATCCAATGAGGGGAGGGGGGTACATCCAGGCCCTGAATATAATTATCTCTGCAGGGTATGCCAATCGCGGGATTTCAGAGCGGAATAAAATCAATTAATAGATTTGCATTAGATGTTGATGAATTTTGATCCTTAGATTCACGACACAAAAGTTTCAATTTTTGATCAGGCCTTAATGTTTCGTGACAACTCACACGACTAAAAGAAGAATTTACTCAAATTATTTTCCTTAAAAAAGTATGTTTAAATCCTCCAATAAAATTAATCTGCTAAATTGTTAAGCTTGCCACAGATTTGCAAAGAAAATTGGGACATGAAAGCTAAAACTAGAAAAAGGCATAATTTAATCAAAAAAAATTCAAAGATCTCAAAGTCTTGCAAAATTCAAAAGGTTGGCGTTTCTAGTCATAAAAATACAGTATATAGTTTTTAAAGAGAAAATCCTATGATCAAAGATCATTCATAATTCATTGAAATAGCCAACACGAACACGAGTTATACAATCGATAGAGATGAAACATTAACTTTTCTTTTCTTAAAATATATTTCTTTTATGCTTACACAACATTTTAATAAATAATTTACAAAACACACTTTATAATAAATTCAACATTTTAATAAATAATTTACTTTATAATAAATTCAACATTTTAATAAATAATTTACACAACACACTTATTAAAAATCAAAATCTTGGGCGCTCCTTGCCGTACTCCTTGTAATCTATCCCCGAGGGATTGAGGAACTTGTACTGCTTCCCGTCGTAGTATCCGTAGGTGTCCCAGGGAGTCTTACTTTTCCTCCAGTTTACATCCGTAGCATATACTGCAGCTCTACAGATAAAATTACATAATTTTTTTTTTATAAAATCAGACTTTTAGGGACATTTTACTGCCTTATTTTTCTTTTTTAGAATTAGACTTGAATTGAAAAAGGCGTTTAAGCTTTAGTTAAGAATGAAAAGGTTGGTTTGAAATAAGTAAGAAAAATTATAAGGAATAAATTTGAAAACTTTTTTTTTTAAATATCAAGCTATGCTTGTTTTTTTATGTGATAATTGTTAAATCTTAAAATTGCATTTAAGAAAATACTATATTTGATTTTGACAAGGCCTACTTATCAATTTAGAAAAGTTATCAAAAATAGATAAGTTTTTTATGTTGAAATTATTTTAAGATTGTGTTTTATTTTCATTCTTTCAAATAAAAGATTCTGGACTATCTTTAAAAACCCTACTATAATAGATTCCATGATTTTTCTTCACAAGCTTATTTTAAAGTAAATCGCTATCTAAACCTGATCGCGTAGCTAGCAACCAACACCATAGCTCCAGCTAGAATACCAAACAATGGTTGCAGTTCATAATGCCGTTTCAACGTTTTAACAGTCAAACCCTATAAATAAAAAAATAGATAACGTCTGTATTTATTTTGAGGGAGAATTCAGTCTGTTTCGGGAAAAAAATTCAAAAAAAGGAATTATTAAAAAACAAATTCACTGTGCTNAATACCTGTGGAATAGAATTATTTTGTAATCTTCCTCCCTTAGAGGACTTGAAAGTTCCATAAATGTATCCAGGATTAGTCCTCAGACACCTTGTGATATGCATCCTAAATAAAAACATATTTAACAACTTTAAATAATTTTTATAAAGATATAGGTCTACAAGAAAGAACAATCATAGAAAACTGGGGAATGAATGCCGTCGTCCTTCTTGATTTTAATTTTCAAATGTTTCAAAGGATTTTGTAATCTGCATTTAGTACAAGATATATGTTTTCCTAGATTAATGGTTTCCAAGAGATTTTAGTTTCAAGAGATATGGATTCAAGAGATATTGATTCAAGAGATATGTGGTTTCCTAGAGACATGATTTGCTAGACATATGGTTTGCTAGAGATATGGATTCCTAGAGATATGTTTTCCTAGGTGGTTTCCTAGAGATATGGTTTCCTAGAGATATGTTTTCCTAGAGATATGGTTTCCTAGAGATATGGTTTCCTAGTGATATGGCTTCCTAGAGATATGGTTTCCTAGAGATATGGTTTCCTAGAGATATGGTCTCCTAGAGATATGGTTTCCTAGAGATATGATCTCCTAAAGATATGGTTTCCTAGAGGTATGGTTTCCTAAAGATATGTTTTCCTCGGTAGTTTCCTAGATATGCGGTTTCTTAACTTTAAATTCAAGATAGAAAAGTGTCTAAGTAAAACTAAGTATTTATTTTAAACTTATTACCTGGTTTTCTTCTTATCTGTGAATGTAGTTGTTCAACTTTGAATACATGTGAAGTTACTGGAAGGTGTGGAAACTAGTAAGGGTTGAGGTTAACAATAATTACGCACTTATTGGGGATTATTTACGCAGTTTGAATTATGTAATGCGTCAATATTATAGTGGGCCAACGGATTATTTACCCCCCCCCCTTCTCACCTTTTTGGACACTTTTTGGCCCCTAACTCCGTAAATAAAATATAACCCAGCATAAGCTTACACGCTTTTGTATAAACAAATATTCAAACATGGAGGATTTTTTTTGTAACCTTTTACAAATCATATTTTAAAACATTACTTCTAATTATTTTTACAACTACTTTACAGGGAAGTTATGGAATTTTACTTTACCAAGGGCTCAAAAGACCAATTATGCCGACAAAATATTCAGATCGTAGCGAGGGATGTTCTGCAGGTAAAATTGGTCTTCGGAAATTTATATTTTCTGAAAAAAGTCATTTTAGACCATTTTATTGCGCGATTTTTTATTCATAAAAACTTCGCCGATTGGCCAGCGGATCGTTATTTTTCTTAATTGTCCCAAAAAACGTTAAGTAACCTTAACATTTCTATGCTGATGGAATCTTTGGTGGGTAATGTTGTTCAAAGGGCGGTTAATTAAATATATCTATAAATATAAAGTTGTATTCTGTTTGTCATAAAATACAGGGTGTCCCACAGGTTATATTGGATCGTTAATGCCTTTAAATTATAATTTTCGAGACTAATCAGAAAATTTTAGAAGAATTAATCATTTAAAAAACATATAAGGTTGTTCGAGTAATATGTGCGCATAATTGACGTTAAAGCTTGGATATAATCAAATATGATATGGAACGCTCTGTAAACGAAATGTGAATTGTACCCACGAAAGATTATACTTTATGGACGACCAATACATGTTATATATCGAGTTGAAGGTTGTAGCCTTGTATTTTGCATTGAATATAGTATTTAGATGGTTTATAAACTGATTTAGAAAAGAAATACTTATGCAATATAATTGCAACTGCACGGGAACGAGAAATTAAGAATAAATATGAACAAATTCCCCCCAGTCTATTCCTAAGTCTCATCCTTTGTGGATAACCCTGTCTATGAATTTTCTTCAACTATTAAGGGATCCAACGCCAACAGTATTATTGGAGTTTTATGATTTCTTTCACACTTTTTATAGCATTCGCACTTCGACTTTAGCCCTTATTTCTAAGGATTATATTTTATTATTTTGCATACAAAATTCTGTTCAATTCTATAAATGTGAACTTCTGAAATTATCTTTCACTGACTTATCACAAAATCTGGTTCAGTCATTTCAGCTTTACGTTTTGAAAGTAAATATTAGTATTTCTTTAATGTAACGTTAAAATGAAACTGAAAAACAATCAAAAATTGGATATCTGTTTTCACGTCTTGCACTTCAAATGCAGACTGCGTATTTTTATGTACTTTATATAGCGTACAGTTAAACAGTGTACAGTTGTACAAGTTTTTAAGAGAGTATCGTTGGACAAAACTCCCGAGTTTCCTTTTAGGAGGCTAAAAATCTGTGTAGATTTTGATTTAAGAATTTAGAAAAATGGAAAATATGAAGAAACCAAATCAAGTAATAGTTCATAACAAAAATATTGGTAGCTACAAAGCTGCCTTATGAAACCCGGGGTCTAAAACTGGTTTTCAGAACAATACCCTGTCTTAAGTTTTGGGCTCTGAGTCTGGAACTGAACACAAAAAAAATGAAACCCAGTTTCAATTAAAAGTGAGAAAAACAAATTTGATAAAGAATTTTAAGTTTCTTATTACTGAAATATTAAAGTTCAACGGTAAAGTGGTTTAACGTCGAAAGTTTAAAATAAATTCTTTTTTTAAGAATTTCCAAATATTAGATGTTTTTATCCATCAGCTTTTTTATTTTTGTTATCATAAAGCCGTAGTTTAATTTATTACAGTTTTTTAAAAAAAGTTTTAAAATTATCTTTAGGCCTTCATAGTGATCTGCCATATACCCTGAGTATAATAGAAGGGGAAAATAATAAAAATACAAGAAGTTTAAAGTTTAAAAGGCAAAAATATTATTCTTATTCTTATTCTATAGATTTATTATTATAATTTATTAAGCGTAAAACTGTAAAAAAACAATATTTATCAAAACATACAATTTCATAAAACTTGTTATTATTTTTTTTCAATCAAGAATTTTAGCAATCTTGGTCCACCAGCAGCACTGATAACTGTTTCTCAAACTGAAATATTTAATGTTGTTGCTAATGGTTTTAAAACAATATGCAAGGTTACCCTCAAAGATGAGACTTTAATGACGACCTAAATCTCTTTGTATTTAATTCAAGCTAAAGCTTTACGTAAAAATTCTGCCCTTGATATTGTCTTTGATTGGAATCTTTAATTAATTTTTTCAGGAAACTAAAAATATTTCGAGCTGAAGGGATCTAAGAACATTGAACATGAGAAGTAAGAGAAATATATAATTCTGCATGCACAGTCGTATCTCAAGTCTGAACCCTGTTTAAAGGAAAATGGGTTGTTTTACATACAGTTAAGCATTGCACAATGCACGTTTGCTATATTTCATGTTTGATTGGACTATTAATTAAAGCATAACTTGAGTCTAACAGTCGTCTACCACACTTTTAAGCAGGTGTCCCCTGTTGGTACCTGACGTAAAGCTGATGTGGGGGTTGAAGATGATGTTCAATGATGCGAAGTTCCTCCTCATGACAGGATAGAGCTACATCTAGTTTACCCATCCTAGAATTTTCAGGTTAATTTTTTAAACTTTTAAGAGGCGCCATAATAATCTGAGATGTTTAATCTATTTAAAACTGAATTGATCAACAAATTTTCCTTTGACCAAAGATACAAAAACGATTTTTCAAACCAAAATGAGTAAAATCGTTTATTTAAAGAATCAGCTTTAAATCAAAACATTTTAAGATACAGGGTGTTCCAAGAAACATGACAGTTGGTGAATAGTTTTGAATGTCTTCTTCCATATATTCTAATATATAGTAAAAACTTTTTGCAGTTTATTTCGTTAAAAAATTCTTTTACTCAAATATGCTTTACTTTGAAATCAAATTTACTATTTTATGAATGTAATATAATATTTTTCATTATTCTCTTTCGTATCAAACAACTGAAAAAATTTTGGGAGAAGACATTTAAAACTATTTACCAACTGTCATGTTTCGTAGGACACCCTGTATTTCAGGATCTTACTATTCATCATCAGTAGATTATTTTAAATCATTTATTAAGATCTTTGGCGTAAAAAAAATTTTGGCATCATGCAAAAAACGAATTTTTAAGAAAGTCGATGGTTAACCTTCCTTAAATCTTTCAATTTCCAAACTATTTTTAATTTTTTTAAATCTTGTAATTTAAATCATTCCACAGCGGAGTTTTAAGTTTCTTCTTAATTAGCAAACATTTTGGAAATTTTTATTTTTTACTTGAGATATTCTTGATTTTTCTTCTCCAACGGTATTAGCAGACTCTGAAGATCTGAAGGTACACTGCTGGGCAGGTCGTCGTAGGTCAACCAATCACTACATTAGTCAAAATTATCATGTTTTGTAAAAATTTTATTTATATTTTTACCACACACAGATGGAAAAGTATTTCTTAAGCTTTTCCTGTTAGAAATGTTTCTTAATTTTTTATTCAAAAATGAATACTTTAAATGATATATTTTTGGTAAAATATGATATTCATCTACTTATGCAGTACATTACCTGGAGCATGCAGTACACTACCTGGAGCATGCAGTACAATACCTGGAGCATGTAGTCCACTACCCGGAGCATGCAGTACAATACCAGAGCATGCAGTACACTAATTTGAGTATGCAGTACACTACCTGGAGCATGCATGCAGTACAATACCAGAGCATGCAATATAATACTTGGCCGGAGCATGCAGTACACTGACTTGAGTATGCAGCACACTACCTGGAGCATGCAGTACAATACCAGAGCATGCAATATAATACTTGGAGCATGCAGTACACTAACTTGAGTATGCAGTACACTACCTGGAGCATGTCAAATAATATGCATACTTGACTCTTTCCACATTAGAAGTTGTTAAAGTGGTTTTGCACATTACCCGGATCTTTTAGTGAACTACCAGAGCATGCAATATAATATAATATGTATTATGTATGCATTACACTAACTGAAGTGTGCAGTACACTACCTGGATCATGTGCAGTACACTACCTGGAGTATGCATTACACTACCTGGATCATGTGCAGTACACTACCTGGAATATGCATTACACTACCTGGAGCATGCAGTACACTGGCATGTGAAGAAAAAGCTCTCCTGAAGCCAGGCTCTTCTATCAGGTCCAGGGAGTTCAGAGTAATGAATACAATAGTTGTCAGTTATCTCTTCACCTAGAGTTTACATGCAACATATTATTTTTTTCTCCCAAAAAAATTTAAAAACTTAAAAATCTTTATCTGATCTTGTTCTTGACTACAAATTTTAAAGCAATGATACAGAGGTCTGCGTTTGTATCAATACAATGAAGAAGACTTTTCTATTTAAGTTTTATATTCAAAACAAGTAAACATTAAAAGAATCTGTGACTCGAAAGCATCTCTTTTTTCCATTTGTATTCAAGTGTATCCAAGCTGTTTAACAAAAATCATTTCTTCATTTCTTTTATATAAACGACGACGACGTCAAACGATCATGCTAATTACAGTGAAACCCTTAATAACGAATACATCGAAAGCATTCATCAAATGTCGTATTCTCCACTTTCTGATAATGGAATGTTGCAGATATTTATTTTTTTAATTAAATGATTATATGGAACTCTTTAAAACTGTTCCCGCGTATTCATGGCTATTTATTTATTTTCGCAAATACTGAAATTTACGAAATGATGTATGAAACTCATTGAAAAATTATCAAGACGACATTTGATAAATTCTTCCGATGTATTCGTTATTAAGGGTTTCACTGTAGTTCAAAAGTAAAATTAAAATTGTGAATGTACTTAGCGTTAATTTCTACAAAATACCTTGTTTTATGTCTCTAGCAGCAATAATGACGACTGTTCCTCCAATATTACATCGCAATGTGTTCGGGTTACAGTTACTGAGTTGATCCTTCTTCAAACTTAGATACAGGGTGTCTCAAAAAACGGGGAATAATGGTCAATGATTCCAGTTTTAGGCTTGTAGATTTAAAAATGATAATTTTAAAGGCTCCTAAAGTTTCCAACTGGAGCGAGTAAAACGTAAAAGATAATATACTTTTAAACAATCTTGCATTCAAAGTTTAGTTTAGTTATTATTAGTAATTATCTTACACACAATTTGTTTATTTGTTCATCCCTTTGGTAGAATCATATTTTTGGTTTAAGTGAAATGTTGGTATTGATGCATAAAATAGCTTTATATCTATATTGTCTATATATACTTTGTTTGGGTGTCTGTTTGTTTGTATCCAATAAACGTAAAAACGGCGAAACCAATAGTGCCAAAAAAATTGTGGGACCTTACATGGCCCCAGGGAAGGTTTATGAAAGATCAAAATATCTAAAATTTGCCTCCAACAAAATTCGATTTTCATAAAATTTTTGAAAATTTTGAAAAACTATGAAATTATTATCGAATCCGCTAACTTTTTTTGTTATGTTTTACAGTATTCACAAAGAGAACATGTTCACAATGGGGGACATTGTTTGTATCCAATAAAAGTCATGCCAGCTGCACCAATCAGGCCAAAATTTTTTGTCGCAATTCATGTTCCCAGGAAAGGTTGTTGACGGAAAACAGCAACACACTAGACAAATCAGGATAATAGGCTAGTTAGGATTCTGGTGGGGGATGTTTATTTTCCCAAGACAATTTTTTCCCGATAGGCCGCACAAATACACACAACAGAGTAACCCCGTCTCAGAAAATCGATAACAAAATCTTTATTTCCTAAAATAACATAAATTATAGGTCATGTTTACTTGTACAATGTTATAATGAATATTAATAGTAGAAAAAATCTTACGAATTATTAAGGTGTGATCGGGGGAGACTTATTGTTGATCAGTATTGAAATACGTTTTTTTTTTTAACTTCTGAAAAATTACAGTTGAATATTTAACAAAATTCACTAATGCTTCTTATGAAAATATTCTTGCTTAACTTTAATGATTTCACAATAACGAAAATATTTTAAGCTCCGTAGGACGGAGTACAAAGGGAATTGCGGGCTGAAAGTTTGGTTTGGCTGTCTCCGAGAGGAGATTCAAGTTGAAGACGACATTTTGCAGAGGTCTTAAAATTAATGGTTAACAAAGGTATATAGATGATTAAAGATAACAAACTTTGTCTAAAAAAATTTCAACATTGTAGCAACGAGTAATCGACAAAATTAACAAACATTAGATATATTGAATCTAACTTACAACATGGGTTTTAAATCTTGTATAAATATATTTGGTTTGGTAGGCAGAGCTTCCGAACTGGAAGACAACATTTTATGACCCCCAGCAACAGCAGCTTGTTACTAGAAAAGGGGACTTAAGTACCCTAAAAGCCTAGTACTATCGGTTTTTTGGAGAGAAAAATGGAACAATTCAATTCATGGCATTATAAATGCAATAAGGTCATTTGATTCACAGTAACGTAAAAAATGAAATGAAGAAGATTTCCTGTTGAGATAACTACCAATACTAGGATACACTCCACTACCAATATTCTCTAATCCAACCTAAACAAAGCACAAGCTCTTAAAGGGACTGTAAGCGTAGTTTTCCTTGCAAAGATGTCCGATTTACAAAGGTACCCATGAAACCTTTATCTGATAAAAAAAAATGGAATATATTGTACATGTTATCTAGTCCTTTCAACGTGATTATACTAAAGTTGGAAACTTATGAATTATTGAGATAGATAGAGAATAGATGTTACCGTCATGCAATTTCTATTGGTTCAGAATAGACACCACAAACATGACTGAACCTTGATTGGAATCGCATTCAAGTGTGAACAGATGATCTTATTCTGCTATTGATCCTTATTCTGTTATTGATCCTAATTCCATTATTGATCCTTATTCTGTTATCGACCCTTGTTCTGTAATTGATCCTTATTCTATTATTGATCCTTATTCTGTTATTGATCCTTATTCTTTTATTGATCCTTATTCTGTTATTGATCCTTATTCTGTTATTGATCCTTATTCTGTAATTGATATTATTCTGTTATTGATCCTAATTCCATTATTGATCCTTATTCTGTTATTAATCCTTATTCTGTAATTGATCATTATTCTGTTATTAATCCTTATTCTGTTATTAATCCTTATTCTGTTATTTATCATTATTCTGTTATTAATCCTTGTTCTGCTATTGATCTTATTCTTTTATTGATCCTTATTCTGTAATTGATATTATTCTGTTTTTGATCCTAATTCCATTATTGATCCTTATTCTGTTATTAATCCTTATTCTGTTATTAATCCTTATTCTGTTATTGATCCATATTCTGTTATTAATCCTTATTCTGTTATTAATCCTTATTCTGTTATTGATCTTATACTTTAATTGATCTTGTGTGACCCACCTGTCCTGCTTTATCAACTTCAACCCCCCAGATAGGATAGCAGTTAGATTCTGTTATGAGTCGCAGCTTGTAAACAAGAAGTCCTGAATTTTTAGATTATTAACACATTTGAAAATATGCAACACCTAATTTCAGGGAATCGAGCATTCAATTCCTTCATTAAATGATGAAATAAAAGAAATTACCAATTGTTAGTTCTTCATCTGAAAATTCTCCTGTGCCACTCTCATTTTGGTTCTTTTTGGATGCCCCGCCTTTTCCAGGTGGTTCAAAATATCCAGCACTTCTCAAAGTTCTAAACAGATCTAGGTTTCAAATGTTTGAGCTCTGTTGTTGGTTGACAAATTTAAAATTAACGGGTTTCGTTGTTTGTTAACGATATTTCTGTTATTTAAGAAAACTTTTTAATAAATTTCTGTTTGCCCCAGCCCTAGATACACTGTTGTTTTTACCTGACTAAGAATACAGTGACTACTGCGTGTTTTGCACGTGCTGCCTGTGTGAAGAGATGGGCGGTTTCGGCATTTCAAAATTAATTTTTTTCCTTGTTTTAATTACGACCTATTTCATTAGTTTTTTTTTGTTTCAGTTGTTCAGTAAAACTTTGATTTATTTCGTTTTCAGAATTATCATTCATTTTACATCCATTTTGTTCGTTTTATATCGATTGTTTGTTCAGTAAAATTGTTTTTTTTTCAGTAAAAGATGATATTTTTTTCAGAAGTTTGTTCAATCGTTTTTTTGCTTCTTTGAAGGATCCAATTCGTTTATCCGTTTTTGTTATGTTTTCTAAATGACATCCTTCGTTCGTTTTTAAATATTAGTTCAATGACGAAACTGAGGCCCATCTGTTTGCCTGTGATATGGATTCTGCATGATCCACCATGTTGAACAAATGTTGATATCGATCTAGTTCAGTTTCTACCCGTGTTAAAGTAGGAGAAGTACAGGGAACATTTCCCTACATATGAATTATATACAATAAAATATTTTGTACTATGAAAAGATTGAAAAGTGGTCCTAGCTGCAGTTTTTGGCCTTCAGCCTGTTATACTAGTTAGCCAAGGCCCAAGGCCCAAGGCCCAAAACTTTTTCCATTGGCCACAGTGCTCAAACCGCTAGATATTTATGAGTTCTGAAAGAAAATAGTAGCAGTTGTCATTCTCTCCGGTGGAGTGTCCTGAGTGGTTATCAGCATCCCTCCGGTGGAGTAATTAGTGCCCAGGGTGATCTTCCCCATCCCTTCGGTGGGGTAATTAGTGTCCTGAGTGCTTATTAGTGTCATGAGTGCTAATTAGTGTCCTCAGTGCTAATTAGTGTTCTGAGTGCTAATTAGTGTCCTGAGTGCTAATTAGTGTCCTCAGTGCTTATTAGTGTTCTGAGTGCTAATTAGTGTACTGAGTGCTAATTAGTGTCCTGAGTACTAATTAGTGTCATGATAGCTTATTAGTGTCCAGAGTGCTAATTAGTGTCCTGAGTGCTAATTAGTGTCCTGAGTGCTAATTAGTGTTCTGAGTACTAATTAGTGTCAGGAAAGCTTTTTAGTGTCCAGAGTGCTAATTAGTGTCCTGAGTGCTAATTAGTGTCCTGAGTGCTAATTAGTGTCCTCAGTGCTAATTAGTGTCCTCAGTGCTAATTAGTGTCCTCAGTGCTAATTAGTGTCCTGAGTGCTAATTAGTGTCCTGAGTGCTTATCAGTGTCATGAAGGCTTATTAGTGTCCTGAGTGCTAATTAGTGTCCTGAGTGCTAATTAGTGTCCTCAGTGCTAATTAGTGTCCTGAGTGCTAATTAGTGTCCTCAGTGCTAATTAGTGCCCTGAGTGCTAATTAGTGTCCTCAGTGTCCCTCCGGTGGAGTAAATAGTTGAAAATTCTACTTTTTTATTCCAGAAATCGCTTTTTATTACTTACTCTAAATTGTGCTGTGCTTGAATATTTAAATTTTTAAGATAACTAAGTTGGGTTCAGAGGAAAGAACAGAAACTAAGCCCCCTCCTGGACACATTCTTGTGTACGCCTCTGTTTTAAGGTTAAGTCTAAAACGACGTACACGATTGAGGGATTTCTAAAAAGGCTCTTTGATCAAATTAAAGGGATTGTAAGCCTCCAGTGACCCTCAATGTTTATAACTATGAAAACTGATATTTGTCAAATGCGGGTTCTCTACAAAAGTTACATGCGCATTTCTACTGCAGGAAAATTAAATATATCAAAATTAAATATTTTTAAACCTCGGAAAACGATACTATCTTCCACATAAAAAAATATTAAAAATTAACAAAATTAAATATTTTTAAACCTCGGAGAACGATAATATCTTCCACATTATTGATATGATAACAATTTCAAGGGTACCGTTGTGAATCGCTTAGAGCCACTTTATGGAACTTTGTGCCCCAAAGTTTGTTAGATCTAATAAACAAACCTGATTCAGAAAGAGGTTTTTGTTTTCCTGCCAGAAGTTGGCGGGTTTGCTGAGAATAATATAGATACTGCTGAATACTCTAAACCAGTCCTTCTGATCAACAATCCTTTACAAATATCATTTAAACAATGTTAGTGTAAAGGTTAGGGATGGACATGGTTCCATTTTCAACTTTTGTCTTTAAAATTTTGTTACTGAATTCCGATTCGAAAACCATTTTATTCAATTTAAATTCAGCATAAAACTTCCGAGAAAATGAAATTTTCAAAAAATATATTTTTTTTCTAAGGTTGAATTCAATCAACTGTCCCCCATTGTACATGTGAACATAAATACCTGATATCATGTACCCCAATGTACATGTGAACTATAAATACCTGATATCATGTACCCCCATTGTACAAGTGAACTTGTGAACTCCTGATTTGTCTCTGCAATCGGGAGAGCAGAAAACAACACTAAATAATTTATGGATTTGTAAGAAAATTTTCCCATTAAAGATAAGTAACAAAATCACAGGCAAAAAATAGTGTCCCTTTCAAGATAGAAAATTGTCAAGATATGTCCCATTCAAGATAGAAAATTGTCAAGATGTGTCTCCTTTAAGATTGAAAATTGTCAAGATGTGTCCCACTTAAGATTGAAAATTTGTCATGATGTTTCCTAATCAAGATGTAAAACTGTCATGATGTGTCCCATTCAAGATTGAAAATTGTCAAGATGGGTTCAATTCAAGATAGAAAATTGTCAAGATGGGTTCAATTAATAATAATAATAATGATAATAAAAAATAGTGTCCCTTTCAAGATAGAAAATTGTCAAGTTATGTCCCATTCAAGATAGAAAATTGTCAAGATGTGTCTCATTTAAGATTGAAAATTGTCAAGATGTGTCCCATTTAAGATTGAAAATTTGTCATGATGTTTCCTATTCAAGATGTAAAACTGTCATGATGTGTCCCATTCAAGATTGAAAATTGTCAAGATGGGTTCAATTCAAGATAGAAAATTGTCAAGATAAGTCCCATTCAAGATAGAAAATTGTCAAGATGGGTCTCATTTAAGATTGAAAATTAACCTAATGTGTCCCATTCAAGAGAGAAAACTGTCATGATGTGTTCCATTCAAGATTGAAAATTTGTCATGATGTTTCCTAATCAAGGTTGAAAATTGTCATGATGTTTCCTATTCAAGATTGAAAATTGTCATGATGTGTCCCATTCAAGATTGAAAATTATCAGGATGTGTTTTCTATTTAAAATAAAAAATTGTCAATATGTGTCTCATTTAAGATAGAAAAGTGTCAAGATGTGTCCCATTTACGAGAAAAAATGGTCAAGATATGTTCTATTCAAGAATAGCGTCAAGAAGTGTTACAATCAAGATATAATAGTTTAAAGATGTGTTCCATTTAACATAGAATAGCGTCAAGATGTGTTCCATTCAATACAGAATAGCATCAAGATGTGTTCCATTCAAGATAGAATAGCTTCAAGATGTGTTCCAATCAAGATAAAATAGTTAAATATGTGTTCCATTCCAGATAATATAGCGCCAAGATGTGTTCCATTCCATTCAAGAAAGAAAAGCGTCAAGATGTGTCCCATTCAAGATAGAATTCCGTCAATATTTGTTTCATTTAAAATAGAAAATTTGCAACATATTTCCCATTCATAAAGGAAGTGCAAGTCCCTTGATTATCCTTCGTTGAATAGCAACCCTCCTTGTAGAGGAAAAAAAAATGTGCGTTTTATAGCAGGGAAGCTATAAAACTAATTTAAATTTCGGTGATGGTGATGGACCAAACCTCTGTAGAGTAAAAACAAGTAGATGTTAGTTCCACATTTATTGAAAATATATTTCGGTCTGGGTTGACCCTCGTCAGTTCTAACATAATAACCATCGAAATCGATAAAAGAAAAGAAAAAATTGTTAATAACCACAAGAAAATAAACAAACAAAAAAGAATATTTTAAAAAAAAATTTGGGTTGTCAAATATAAATGCACTTAAGCACAACAAATAAGCGGAGAGGGGTCCACACATATAAAATGAAAGGGTGCTCCTCGACTGTCGTATAATGACGCAAAGACAGCGACTCGTAAACATTCTATTAGAAGCAGGGCAGTAAATGGACGGGCAAAGGGAGGCAAGGAAAAGAGAAACTGTGTACGTGCAGATGGAGAAAAAAATGATTGACAAACATTTGAATAAGCAATGCCTCGTACCATTTTATTTACAAAAATTATAAAAAATAAATTTTAAAAATATTGTTATAAAAAAAAGAAATGCGTTGAGAACTGTCCTTTTCAAGGTAGAACCGTAAGGAAGTTATCAAGATATGTAAAAATACCTGTTGCATGAGTAGCAAGGAAAAGGACAGTTGTTTACAGGATTCAGGCAAACCAAGCAGTATTCAAGTATTTTATCCTAGACATTACAGATATTTAAGTTGTAGGGACAATAAACATAATTTTAAGTGACCCCTTCAAATGTGGGAGAGAACACCGTTTTCGGACTCAAAAAGTGTTTATGTCTGTGAATTTCTCCATTAATTCTTTTAAGCAAAATGAGCAGAGAAAAACAAATGAAATATTTTAATAAAAAACATGCGTATCTTATTCATATTTGGCCAGACAAAGTTTCAAGGGTACCATTGTAAATCGGGCATTGCAATCTTTTCATGGAGGGTCACTTGAAATTACGGTTACAATCCTTTAAAGGGTGTCGTTTTTCCTGTAAAAGAAACAAGGACAATTAAAGGCAGAAACACAATTCTAGCCCGAATTAAAAGAATTTAAGCCGCGTCTTAAATTTGAGCCGTTGTTCAAATATAGTTGGTTCCACTTAAAACTGTATTAATCTTTTCAAGATTTAAGCCGGCGCTCAATTGAAACCTGTTTTTGGAGGATTTGAGACGTGGCTTTAATTCATTAAATTTGGACACTGAACACAACTAAATTTAATCATTCTTATGTCTTTGCGACCTCATCATTGATATTTTAAACATTTTAACAAATCTAAAGTAGACTTCTTAGTTTGAAATATTAAAGGTCTACAATGAAGACAATAATACCAAGAAAATTGGAATTTGTGAGATTGTTAAATTTAGTTTTTTTTCATAAATTTATTTCAGGGTCTACTGGACAATTCTTTTCCAATTCATTGCATTTGTATTCTGCATCAAATTTTTATTTTCATTTTTTAATCAAATAATAAACTATTTAGTTTTATGAAGTTACAAATATTCTTCTATAGAACAAACCTTATCATCTGGATTCAAGAATGGAGTTATTCCCTCATCCATCATTATAACTGATCCTAAGATATCATTATTTTAAATTTTTGTTAAGCCTCTCTAAAACTGTAAAAAAAATGTTTTACATATATTCTTTTTAAGGATGTTTTTTGTAAGCTGTAAACCATAAACCATAAGCTGTTCATAGAGATGGGCATAGTTTTAGTGAACGAACGAACATTTCAGAACGAACAAAAAGTGGTGTTGTTCAGAAAAAGAAAAAACGAGGACAAACGACTTGGATCGTTTTTTAAAAACGAACGAAAAAACAAAAACAAAAACGATTTGAAGTCGTTTTGCAGAAGGAACACTTTTTCCAAAAGCTTTTTAAAAAATATTAATATTTTCTGAACAAACGATTTATTGACCTCAATTACTTTTACTTAATGACCGATTTTTATTAACAAACTTTTTAAAACGATCGTCTTTTTACTTAACAAACGATTTTATTGTACGAACAAGTTTACTTAACGAACAAATTTGCTGAAAACGAACAATTTTACCAAATGATCCTTCAGTGAGAAAACGAATGAAATATATGGAAAATGAACGATCATTTTTAGAACGAATGAAATCAATATTTTTTTGAACGATTTAAAAAAACCGAACGAAATTGGTCGTTCACGAACGATGAACGCAAAAAAGCGCCTATCTCTAGCTGAACACCATAAACAGTAAAAAAGTAAACAGTAAACAGTAAACAGTAAACATAAAGCATAAAGCATAAAGCATAAAGCATAAAGCATAAAGCATAAAGCATAAAGCATAAAGCATAAAGCATAAAGCATAAAGCATAAAACATAAAGCATAAAGCATTAATTATAAAGCATAAAGAAGCATAAAGTATAAAGAATAAAGCATAAAGCATAAAGCATAAAGCATAAAGCATAAAGCATAAAGCATAAAGCATAAAGCATAAAGAAGCATAAAGCATAAAGCATAAAGCATAAAGCATAAAGCATAAAATAAAGCATAAAGCATAAAGCATAAAGCATAAAGCATAAAGCATAAAGCATAAAGCATAAAGCTTAAAGCGTAAAGCCATTAATGTGTTGACCTGCCGGAATAGGGTTGGTCGCTACACAAAACCGCCCTTGCTCGGCAGAGTATTTAATTCCTATATTGGAACTTAATCTGGAATCCTGAATATATTCATCATTATCATCATTATCATCATAATCATCATTATCATCATTATCTTCATTATCATCATTATCATCATTATCATCATCAAAATCTCTATTATCATCATCATCTCTATTTTCATTATTTTCACTATCATCATTATCATCATTATCATCATTATTTTTATTATTATCATTCTAATCATTATCATCATTATCATTTTTATCATCTCTATCATAATTATCATCATTATCATCATTATCATCATTATCATCATTATCATCATTATCATTATTATCATCTCTATCATAATTATCATCATTTTCACCATTATAATCATCATCATTATAATCATCATCATTATTTTCACTATTATTATCATTATCATCATTATCATCATCATCATTATTTTCACTATTATTATTATCATTATTATTAGCTCTATCATAATTATCATCATTTTCACCATTAACATCATTATCATCATTATCATCATTATCATCATTATCATCATTATCATCATTATCATCATTATCATCATTATCATTTTTATCATCTCTATCATAATTATCATCATTTTCATCATTATCATCATTATCATAATTATCATCATCATCATCATCTATTTTCATTATTATCATCATCATCATCTATTTTCATTATTATCATTATCTTGTTCACTTGTAACTACAGTCAAATAAAAAATACACTTTTTGCAAGATTAAAGGTTTACCTGGATATTTTTAACAGTGATGAGATCAATACTAGAATCTGGTTTATCAGATCTTTTGCTGATTTTCTTCCTGGACTCTTCAAGAATACGTGAGTAATCTTGTTTTTGTTTCTCACTGAATCAGGGGCAACTTTTTCTTATATCAAAAATGTATTTTTCAGCTATTTTTTTATTTTATTTTTGACAATACATATCACACCTCTATGTCTCACTTTGAAGAGCTATTTCTTGTACTTAATTAATTCTCTAAGAATAAGTTGCCTTAATTTCTCTTTCTTGATTCTCTCTAATGCAATGTTTAAATGCTCTAAAGCATTTTTCGATTATTGAATTTATTCTATTGATGATAATAATGATAATATTAGTAATTATAATAAAAAAACAATAAATATTCCTAGAGCAAGGGTGTACTGTTTTGTCTTGACGTAGCACTAAATAAACAAGTAAATAATATGAAATGATTCTATAGATATCTTCTTGCACAAAATCTTGTTGACATTTTTTCAAAATTGAAATGGCATGGTAATGCAAAAAATAGTATTAGCCGTAGAAGTACAAATTTATTTACACATGAATGCTTGAAAAAGGGATTTTAAAAAGAAACGTTCAAACTTTCGAAACCAGAACATTTTCACTTTTACTTTAAACATTTTCAAGACACTTTCAGAAATAATTCATGTGCAAGTTAAAAAGAAGACGACGGGAATTTCAATGTTTTTTAGTTCTTTCTGTACTTGCATCATTGTTCTATTAATCTAATGCTGAAACTTAAAAAACAAAAATGTATAAAAGTGTAAAAATTCTTTCAGGGAAAATTTAATTGAAAAATTTAACTGTTTACACGCCTGAGATATTTTATGATGGAGTTTATATTCGTCCCTTCCACTGAAAAATGAAATAAAACTAAATAAAAATAATTGAATAATTCATTGTTTTCAAAACACTTACCAAAAGTTACACGAGAGGGCTTCTTTGAAATTATTGAGAGCAGGTTTAAATTTTTCCATCAGAAACAAGATTAAACCTAGGAACATATCATAAACAAGATTAAACCTAGGGACATATCATAAACAAGATTAAACCTAGGGACATATCATTAACAAGATTAAACCTAGGGACATATCAGAAACAAGATTAAACCTAGGGACATATCAGAAACAAGATTAAACCTAGGGACATATCATAAACAAGATTAAACCTAGGGACATATCATTAACAAGATTAAACCTAGGGATATAACAGTTTAACTATATATTTGTATATATAATATTAATCTAGTCCGATCATGCATGATAACAAATTTAATAAGGAAAATTAAATAACCTTACAATAATTCATTAAAAGCAATTTCGAATTAGACCAGTTTGGCCCAACACAAAGTATATTTAAAATTCGGTGATGGTGATGGACCAAACCTCTGTATGAGTAAAGAAAGTAGTAAAAGTATATTTTAAAAACAAAGGTTATTTTTTATATTTGTAAAGTTAAATAGAACGCTTCAGGAAAAAACTGTCACTTCTGTTTTTAATTGATGTGATTTATACATTATTATGAGGGAAGAATAAAAGGATCCACCTTAAAATTATTAAATTATAAAACCATTTTAGTAAAAAATTGCCCAAGCATTAATTTCTTTTGACAATATATGTACAAACTGAAGGGAATACAAGTTAGCATTAGAGATCAAAAATATATCTAGTTGCATATTTTCAAAAGTAAAAAAGAAAAAAAATGTTTAGTAAAAATGAGGTAAAAAAGCAGCAAGTTGAAGTGGTTTTTCTTATTTTTCCCAAATATTCTGAAATTTGCGGTCTAAAAAACGTTTTTTATTAAGATTTTTTGTTATTGTAAAGTTGAAATTAAATATTTTTCAAAGTGGATCCAATTAAAATATGTGCAAGTTTAAGAAACACGGTATCTTGAAACCGCAGTTTTGTACCGCTAAGAGTTCTCTATTGGAAAAGAATTCTTGAAAATTAACTCTATTGTGAAAAAAGTTTTAAAGCCGCTTGGATGAATGAATCTAGTAAAGAGAGTGTTTGTAAAAGTTCAACAAATTTTTGTGAAGAGTTTTAATTCCATGTACCTCTGTAGTAGTAAGCTGGAGCTAAAGATCCCACCTCTCCATGAAGAATAGCAGAGTTCAGATCTGATAACATTTAATTTATTTTTGACCTCTTTATAGGGATTCTTCAGAATAAACTATTTTCAGAGAATAATAATACATGGAATAAATGAACATGGAATCTTTTCGGCTCAATAATTTTTTAAGATTAAAAAATAGCCAAAGCGATGCTATGCAAACTTTGTATCGACCTTTAAGATTTTACTGAAGTAGAAGTGTCGCCAAGCCTTATAGGGATGACCTTACCAAACCCAGTTATTCTTTTAGTAGCCCTGGATATCAAGATTCAAACCGTGAAAGTGCTAGTTTTTGTATTTTATTTTAAAATAATTTTCGCAATTTAATTTACAGTGCACCTGTTTTGAAAATAAAATAAAATAGAAATTTCTCATGTTTTTTATCAGCGCTTAATCCACTGAAATCATAATCATGCTTTAAAAAAATTTAAACAAATTAAAAAAAATTATCTTGAAAATTTACTAAAATATAAATATGTTAAGAATTTTTCTAATTTTTCTGAAGCTAAATAATCTAATTAAAAGTTTAATCAAAAGAGCAGATTGATGCGCAGTTTTCATACAAAAATGCAAATTCATTCAAAAGTTTGCACACTTAACAAGAATTGACAATATTTACATAAATGAGAGAAATAAGATCAAAATATCTAAATGTTTCCTATCAAAGAAGTATCCTCCTTAACTTTAACCTGTAGATGAAGATCAGTGAGAGAGAGATAATAAAATATGCTTTCTCATCTTTAAATATAGATTACAAAATCAATAAAAATCGATTATTTAACAGAAAAAGTTGAATTGCTGCCAATTAAACGACAAAAATCTCTTATATTCAACAAAATATGGCTTTTTGGCAATAATTCAAACTTTGTTGCCCAAAAAACGATTTTTTGATATCGTATTAGAATGTTTTTTAAGGAAAAAATACCTCTGGAAAAACTACGACAAATCATTTCTTTTCTATGATATTTGAATATTTAGCATTGATACTTCGAGGAAAGGAAATCTTTGTGAATCAATGATTGAATTCAATTCTAATCACTAAATCTTTGCAATCTGATGACGTAAAGCTTTTATATTTCAAACTTAGACTTTTTGCTGAAACAGAATTGACTGTGTGAAATATCAAAGGTCTACAACATCGGATTGCAAAGATATGGAGATTAGAAAATTAGAGTTTGTGACAAAAACTCTCGACCGTTCAGTTTTCTCTTTCTGTATCTTCCTTTTTGGTCTTTGAAACTTTTTTCTTTGTCTTGATAAGAGATCTGCGATTGAATTTAATGATTTTGAGATAGGTCGCTAAAATACATACTGCGGTTCAAATTTGAATTGAATTGAATTGAATTGATTCGAAAATAAGAATTCATGAGAATTTGAATCAGTGATTCAAGATTTGAACCAGGGGTAGGTAGTTCAGTGACCTTTTCAATTCATTAAAACTGGTCCCTAATTTCTGGAACATGTTCCCAAATTTGAGAAGATACTTCAACAAGAAGTTTCTCGGGATCCCTTGTAGTAAAAATATCAGCATTAGAGCCTCCCAAGATTCTTATAGAGTTTGCAATATACTCCTAAAAAATATTTATAAGTCATTAAAACATGACAGTTTTATTTTTTGTTAGCGCTATAGCATCAGTTCACAGTAACATTTTTGAATCCCATGTTAACCCAATAATTGATCTTTTTTCGTATTTGATTTTTAATTCTTTTTTGATGAACTATATAATTTAGCTTTTATAAGTTTAAAGTTTGTTAATATATTTATATTTCTTTTAGGATTGTAAAGTTTCTAAATTTTTATTCTCTTATCGATTTTATTTTGAAATAAATAATATTCCCCTGTACAAATGTAAAAATGTAAAACCCCAACATTTATTTTATTTCAAGGCCCTTTAAAATTAACAAGCACTTGAATAACCTGTATTTTTGATTGTTTATTGTCTTCAACTTTTAGATATTTTCTAGAATAGTCCTCTGTACTGTTCAGCTTTGCCAGATCTATATCTTCCATTTTTATCTGAAATTCTTTGTTTTGCAAAGATAAAAGTACAATGATAATTAATAAATAGTGGAAGGAAGATAAAAGTACAATGATAATTAATAAATAGTGGAAGGAAGATAAAAGTACAATGATAACCAATAAATAGTGGAAGGAAGATAAAATTACAATGATAACTAATAAATAGTGGAAGGAAGATAAAAGTACAATGATAACTAATAAATAGTGGAAGGAAGATAAAAGTACAATAATAACCAATAATAGTGGAAGGAAGATAAAAGTACAATTATAACTAATAAATAATGGAAGGAAGATAAAAGTACAATGATAACCAATAAATAGTGGAAGGAAGATAAAAGTACAATGATAAACAATAAATAGTGGAAGGAAAATGAATTGGTAAACCGAATACAAGAATACTAGTAGCGCATATACATTTGGTAATTTCATTAGCAGATTACTGTAGCGTGTTAACCTTTGGTAATCCGAATACAAGAATACAAGTAGCGCATATACATTTGGTAATTTCAATAGCAGATTACTGTAGCGTGTTTACCTTTGGTAATCTGAATACAAGAATACTAGTAGCGCATATACATTTGGTAATTTTGTTACCAGATTACTGTAGCGTGTTTACCTTTGGTAATTTCATTAGCAGATTACTGTAGCGTGTTTACCTTTGGCAATAGCAGATTACTGTAGCGTGTTTACCTTTGGTAATTTTATTAGCAGATTACTGTAGCGTGTTTACCTTTGGTAATTTCATTAGCAGATTACTGTAGCGTGTTAAGCTTTGGTAATTTCATCAGCAGATTACTGTAGCATGTTTACTTTGGTAATTTCATTAGCAGATTACTGTAGCGTGTTTGCCACCTTTGGTAATTTCATTAGCAGATTACTGTAGCGTGTTTACCTTTAGTAATTTCATTAGCAGATTACTGTAGCGTGTTTACCTTTGGTAATTTCATCAGCAGATTACTGTAGCGTGTTTACCTTTGGTAATTTTATTAGCAGATTACTGTAGCGTGTTTGCCACCTTTGGTAATTTCATTAGCAGATTACTGTAGCGTGTTTACCTTTGGTAATTTCACTGTTTATGTGTAAACTGATCTTCTTAGATTGTTGTTCCCCTGTGTACCGTGTAGTATGTAGTATGTATCTATAATAAACTTGAAACAATAGAAAGCCAAGTGTTATACTATATACTATATACTAAATATGGCAGTTGTGAATTTAGATCAATGCACCAAAAATAAGATGTACATTGTGCGTTTTTTAGCAGAATCAAATTTTAAACGAATATAAACGATTTAAGAAATTTAAAAAGTTGATATTTCAAGGTTTCTATCTTTTAACAACACAAAGAACAAAACCGGAAAACCCTTTGTACACAAATTTTACTGTTTTGGAACATTTCCAATTTTGACGAGGTTGCGTGATTAACTTTTCTTATTTTCAATTACAAATTTTCATAAACTATTTGTATTGATTATAAACCGAGTTGAAACATTTTTTTAAAAAACTTTTATAATTGATATAATGAAAGCCACTGATTATAAACGATGGATCATTATAGAAAAATTTCATTTTTTTACTGAAAGTATATCTTATTCTTAATAGGTTATCAAATATCAAGCTTTTTTTTTGTGCACACCACAAAATGTTAAATTTTATTTGTTTTCGTAAATTATTTTCTCTTACTAACTAAAGATGTATTTCAAAGCTATTTTTTAAAGAACATACATCCTGGCTCCTATTGATGTTTTATTTTAATATACATAAATCAATTTTGTGCTAGTTTTGTCAATCAAATTAGAATTTGAAAACTAACTTAAGTCAGAACGTTTTGTTGTGAATCTAAGGATCAAGCATTGATCTCTATCTTACGAAGATTTACGGATCACGTTGATTCCTCTGCGATGTCCAAAGAAATAAAATATAATTTTGGACAAAAAATAAATAGTTTTCTCAGATAAAAATATTGAGAAGAAAACAGACAATATTTCTAATTAGTTTTGTTAGATTAGGCTGGGCTATTTCCTGGCCTACTACCTGGGATTAGGCTGGGCTATTTCCTGGCCTACTACCTGGGATTAGGCTGGGCTATTTCCTGGCCTACTACCTGGGATTAGGCTGGGCTATTTCCTGGCCTACTACCTGGGATTAGGCTGGGCTATTTCCTGGCCTACTACCTGGGATTAGGCTGGGCTATTTCCTGGCCTACTACCTGGGATTAGGCTGGGCTATTTCCTGGCCTACTACCTGGGATTAGGCTGGGCTATTTCCTGGCCTNATCTATCTATCTATCTATCTATCTATCTATCTATCTATCTATCTATCTATCTATCTATCTATCTATCTATCTATCTATCTATCTATATATCTATCTTTCAATCAATCAATCTATCTATATATCTATCTATCTATATATTTATCTATCTATCTATCTATCTATCTATCTATCTATCTATCTATCTATCTATCTATCTATCTATATATTTATCTATCTATCTATCTATCTATCTATCTAAGAAAGAACATGTAAGGAAAGCAGTATTGTATTCTAGGATTCTGCAGTCTAGTTTCTACATTTACTGAAAGTTGACCGTACGGCTGCTGCCTGTAACAAACTGGGCGCTGAGGAAGAATAAGTTGATGAAATAAATAATGAAAGCTGCAGTTGTCATATTTTAATGTCATTCCTTCCGTGAAACTATAGATAGATAGATAGACTGTGAAAACTAGAGGATAACAAGGTAAACTAGTTAAACCAGGAGAACCAGGAGAACCAAGAGAACTTGGAGAACCAGGAGATCCAGGAGAACTATAGGAGAACCAAGAGAACTAGGAAAACTATAGAAGAACTTGGAGAACTAGGAAAATTATAGGAGAACCAAGAAAACTAGGAGACCTAGAGGAGAACTAGAAGAACCAGGAAAACCAGGAAATATACAAGAGAACAAGAAGAACGAGGTGAACCAGGAGAACTAAAGGAGAACTCGGAGAACCAGGAAACCTAGAGGAGAACAAAGAGAAACAAGAGAACTAGAGTAGAACTAGGAGAACTATAAGAACGAGGAGAACCAGGAGAACTAGAGGGAATTTTAAAGAACTGTTAGCAAAATGAAAAAGGCATTTTCTTGACTAAGTTCATTTATATTTTCCAGGTAAAATAATGCTTGATATTCTAAGATCTTAAGCTTTCATTACATTAGTATAGTTCACATTGATAATTTTTATTTATTTTATTGTATTTGATAAAGTTGTGTGTTTCCTTTATAAAAGATCTGTTATAAATATGACAGATGTTTTTCATGGCTAAATTAGACATCGATGTTCTACACATACGTCAGCTGCTGTTCTTGCATAGTTATGACATTTGTGTATATATGTGCAGCTACTGTTGTTGAGTAGATTACAGCTATAATTCCAGATATGACAGCTGCTGTTGCATAGTTTAGAATCTGACTTAAAAATATGAAAGCTATAATTCCAGATATGACAGTTGCTGTTGCATAGTTCAGAATCTTACTTACAAATATGAAAGCTACTGTTAAGACAGTAGTGTTACAGACGTGACAGCTGCTGTTTTTGTAGTTCAGACAGATGCGTTACAGATCGGCAGCAGCTTTTGGAAAATTTCGAATCTTAGTTTTATATAATAGCTGCTGTTGTTGAAAAGTTTAAGCATCCATGTTACGTATATGACGCTGCATAGTTAAGATAACTTTAGTTACATTTATGACAACTGCTTTTAGTTTAGACAGTTTTGTGTTTCTGAAATGGCATCAGCTGTTGTTCTACCGATGTCAAGAGAAGTAAAGAATCTTGTTCCTGAACATTCTTCCTCTACTCTTCTAGAACTTCAACTTAGGTCAGCTAAACAACCCTTAATCATATTCCTCTTAATTCCTCTTGATAAAAAGTACTATATGAGACCCATACAAATGTTCACTGTAAACTCCGGGTCATTTCAAAAACCGGGCCGACTTTTAACTAACGAGAGCAAGCTGCACAGAACAATTTTACAGACAATTTAAGGCAAACCGGGACGGTACGCCAAATGAATGATGCCCTTCTAGTGAAATAAATATGTGTTAGATTCAAGTTAAAATATTCTAATAAACTTATAACATAAAAAATTGTCATTTGTCAAGTGAACACAGACCAATTTTATTTGATAAATTGATTTTGAAGCTAATGGTAAATTCCTTTGCTTTATAACAACATCAAATACACAGAAAATGGCTCAAATGTCGTCTTCCTATTCCACAGTTTTTTATCTTATTTTTAAATCCAAAACGTTAAGGAGTCTGAGACTGCACAAATTTTCTGAATTTTCTAAAAAAAAGGCCTTATAGCTGAACAAAAATGTATCCCTATAACCATATTTTGAAATAAAAAATAAAATTTAGACCGCAAGCATATAATGAATTTAGACCATAATCCCCCCGTAAAAAAAATAGGAAAAAAAACAAGATTTCCCCGGCATAATTATATATTTTGAATTTTTTATCAGTCCCCGACCACTTAATACTTAATTTTAATATTATTTAGAAGAAGAGATAGAAGGAATAAACACTTTCTTCTGAACGTGTCCGGATCCGGTTCAGGTTCAGGTTCAGGTTTAGCTCAGGGCTCAGCAAGTTCAGAGGTACGTTTTATTCTCTAAACCTGGAAGATTTTCATAATTCTTGTCCATCAAATCTTTGCTGCTTGAGAAAAATGTGTTGAATGAAAGAAAGTAAAAATTACTGCAAATCTTTTGTGTATATTTCGAAAGCTTTATTTTTTACTTAATACATATTTTAACAATTAAAAAAATTCAAAAAAATGGGAAAATAGGCAATTAAAAGTTAAGTTTAGATTATACAGTGATTCAAAAAACTCTGGAATTATTTTTAAATTAATTTATAACTTTACATAACCAATAAACATTCAACACTATAATTGTTCAGTGTAAACAGTTTAATTTTACGGATTAAGTGAATAATAAGATATTAATAAACAAGCATGCTTTGTAACAATTTCATATACATGTTAGTTTTTGCTTTTATGTCGTCTACCTATTTCCCAGTTTTCTGGATATCACTGTAAGATATTCTGTTTAGGCTGACTTGTCACCAGTACAAAATCCAGCTCCCTCTCCATCTACTCCTCCTGCTCCCAAAACTGGATTGGAACTTAGCGCAGAACTGGAGCAGTGGATCAAACAGATGGAAAACTGGGATTCAAGGGAACTCAGGTAAGTTTAAGAGAAAAGATAAAGTTAACGAAAATATTTAGAATTGATCCATATATCCTTAGTAGAAATTCTAGTGAGTTCCTTTATTTTTTTCCACCCTGAAACATATTTACTTTGATAACTTTGTGGTGAGTGGTGCTAATTTCTATTAGTAAAGATAATTTTGAATATAATCAACAAACTACTAAACAACTGAACCTTCCTATACTATTCTCCCTGGTTTAAAGTAATGAACAATTGATATAATAAGGACTGAGCTGAAAACTTTAGAATGGTGGATATCGGGATTAATGCTTGATCTCCTCTTTTTTTAAATCTCCAGATTAAATAATGCTTGTTGTCCTATTGATATTAATCTACAGAGTAATTAACCGATCGGAAGTAAGGATATTTCATTCTAAAGTTTTCAGCTCTGTTCACGTTACTTCAAGGGACTATATATCCATTAAAAGAGGTTCATACCAGATTCACAACGTCAACCTTTGCAATGCGTAAAGGATGTTTTTCTTTCTAAAAATTTTAAATTTTCAACCGTGGGTTCTTTAAAAAAAGTGACTTGCGGATTTATGCATCAGAGGCAGATGGAAAAATTAACAGAATTTAACACTTTTAGGATAAAAACGAAGTTATTTTTCCTCATTATTCCCCTGATAAAGATTACTATTTTAAACTCTTTTATTATGGGGGTCACTTATCACGTGATTTCAAGTGCAGATGTCTGATTTACAAGGGTATTATGGAAACCTTAATTTGATCAAAAATACTGACGATATCGTCGTTTTTCTCACTAAAATCAGAATTTTCCAACAAGAAATAAATGTGCAAGTTCTATCCAATTCGTACTTGATCAGACAAAGCTTTTTAAAGTAAATAGGTCATGGAGAGTCACTTGAAATAATGCGTACAGTCCCTTTAAATTATATATTTGTTTAGATGTAATGATCTAAGCGGACGGTGCACGATGTCTAGTTTGATATCTAAAGATGCTCCAACAATAGAACCGTATCCATCCTTAGGGAATTCATTTATACTATGCGCGAAATTTTGTATTTTTTAATGTTCGAAGAGAACATGTTTACAGATAAAGTAACAAATAAAAGTTTTAACAGAAGATGGGCGTGAAGCGCCCCGAAATCCAATATATTCAAATGATTATGTTTAAGGAAGTGTTTACAATTAATATTAAGGGAGGGGTCACACATTCTTAGGAAATTATATCGAATACAACATATCTTAAACAAGATTTGGGGGTTAATCCTAATCTCAATGAAAATCTTTCGGATAGTTTAAAATTTAAATATTTGAATTCTTAGATAAACTGGCCTTCACATATCAGGTACTAATACATAACTATTGCCTATTTAATCCATAAATCTTCACATATCAGGTACTAATACAGAACTATTGCCTATTTAATCCATAAACCTTCACATATCAGGTACTGATACAGAAATATTGCCTATTTTGATACAGAAATATTGCCTATTTAATCCATAAACCTTCACATATCAGGTACTGATACAGAAATATTGCCTATTTGATCCATAAACCTTCACATATCAGGTACTGATACAGAAATATTGCCTATTTGATCCATAAACCTTCACATATCAGGTACTAATACAGAAATATTGCCTATTTTATCCTTCACAAACTAATACAGAAATGTTGCCTATTTAATCCATAAACTTTCACATATCAGGTACTAATACAGAAATATCGCCTATTTGATCCATACACTTTCACATATCAGGTACTAATACAGAAATATTGCCTATTTGATCGAAAAATATTTTCAATTATCTCACAGTATCTTTAAATATGTTTTAAAAGCTTTACACCAGGAAAAATCATTATTCGATGTAAAAAGCCCATACCAAATTTTAACCAGTATTCGAGGGATTTAGTTAAAAAATAACATTTCACTGAATAAAAATAATAAACATAGTTATTATTATATTGTTTCCAATAATTTTCTTGGTTATTATAAAAAAAATCTTTCAAATAGAACTAATCAAAAAATGATAATCTATTCTTTCAACTTCTCTGAACTCGAATACGATACTGCAACTGTTTTGATATTGGTAAAAAATTCTAAAATATTTTGATAACTAGGGAGGTCGAGATAAAGAAAGAAAATTCCATGGGCGAGGTAGCCTGGAATTTGATAACGGTTGTAGTATGTCGGGTAAGAAGGCACTAATATTTGTTTGAAAGGAAAGGCTTTGCCACAAACTCAAATTAGAAAACCAGAGTTTGTGACAAATACTCAATTCCTTTTTTTCAGACATATTTAATTAAAGCATTTACTTTTCTGCAGTGGGTGAATTTAGATGGATAAGGGACTGTAAGCGTAATTTTAATTAAATGACCCCAATTGCGAAGATAGCAATGTATGATTTACTCGAAAAGTTTTTATTTCTGTGAATTTGAAATTAACATTAAAATAAAAGTTACAAGATAAAAAAATATTCTTACATCGCCTCCATTTTGTTTAATTTCAGGAGAATGGAAGAATGGAGAACGAGAAGGAAAATTCAGGTATAAGTAAATGCCACTGTTCTTAAAAACTATACTTTTTTGACCAAGAGAGAGAGAGAGGGGCGGGGCGTGGTAAACACACATATATATATATATAAAGTAATTTCTACGCAAAATTGAAATATTTCATGTTTTCAATCAGAACTCAATCTAAAAGAAAGCTTTTGTGAAGACTAAACATGTTTTAAATTTCTAATATGTATCCGGATATACCCGGATATACCCGGATATACCCGGATATACCCGGATAAATTTGCATTTCTCATGCTTGCGCGTAAAATCGAAACTAGAGGAGCCTCATCAGTCTCTAAATTTTCTCCATCTGACCTCTCTCAAGTCTTTCTTAGCAACAAAGATTTACGTCTGTACATTTCTCTACATTCCGGACACGTCTCACATTTTTATAAAGAAAAACTATTTTTTTTTCTTATTATTTTGCAAGGATTTTTATTCTTCTATGTGAGTGGCCATTATAAAAAAGGTGTTTTGAAAATGACATCTTAAAATTAGATCAAATGATGAATTTTTTTCTAAAACCACGTTATAAAGTTCTTTACGTTTAAAGATTTGGGCTCAAGTCTAGACGTTAGTTAAAATAACTTGATAAGTTAACGGTAGATGTCACTCTCTGTGTCCTTTTAATTTGTTTTGTCACTTTAATTGTTTCTTTTACAAAGAATATTTAAGCCTTGCGTAGGTTTTTCTTATTTTAGCCTCAGACTTAATCACGTCTTTAAGTCATAACTTTTAAAGATGTGCTCTTGTATTTTGTTTTTAAACATTAACAAAAGTTTAAAAAACCGTTTACTTACTTTTTTCTATATGTTTTAACCGTAAAAAAAGTTAAATCCATCTCTAGAACCAATCCTTCTTTAGAACCAATCTATCTCTAGAACCAATCCTTCTTTAGAACCAATCTATCTCTAAAACCAATCCTTCTTTAGAACCAACCCATCTCTAGAACCAATCCAACTCTTGAAGCAATTCTTCTGTAGAACCAATCCATTTTTAGAACCAATCCTTATTTCAAACCAATCCATCTCTAGAACCAATCCACCAATCCTTCTTTAGAACCAATTCATCTCTAGAGCCAATTTATCTCTAGAACCAATCCTTCTTTAGAACCAATCCTTCTCTAGAACCAATCCATCTCTAGAACCAATCCTTCTTTAGAACCAATCCTTTTTTAGAACCAATCCTTCTTTAGAACCAATCCATCTCTAGAACCAATACATATCTAGAAACAATCTATCTCTACCAATCCATCTTTAAAACCAATCCATTTCTAGAACCAATCCAACTCTTGAATCAATTCTTCTTTAGAACCAATCCATTTCTGGAACCAATTCATCTCTAGAACCAATCCTTCCATAGAATCAATCCATCTCTAGAACCCATCCATCATTAGAACCAATTCAATTTTAAAAACAATCCTTCCTTAGAACCAATTCATTTGTAGAACCAATCCATCTTTAAAACCAATCCATCTTTAGAATCAATTCAATTTTAGAACTAACCCCTATCTAGAACCAATCCTTCCTTAGAACCAATCCATCTCTAGAACAATCTATCTCTACCAATCCATCTTTAAAACCAATCCATTTCTAGAACCAATCCAACTCTTGAATCAATTCTTCTTTAGAACCAATCCATTTCTGGAACCAATTCATCTCTAGAACCAATCCTTCCATAGAATCAATCCATCTCTAGAACCCATCCATCATTAGAACCAATTCAATTTTAAAAACAATCCTTCCTTAGAACCAATTCATTTGTAGAACCAATCCATCTTTAAAACCAATCCATCTTTAGAATCAATTCAATTTTAGAACTAACCCCTATCTAGAACCAATCCTTCCTTAGAACCAATCCATCTCTAGAACAAATTCATCTCTAGAACCAATCCTTTCTTAGAACCAATTCATCCATGGAGCCAATCCATCTCTAGAACCAATCTATCTCTGGAACCAATACATATCTAGAACCAATCCATCTCGAGAACCAATCCATCTCTAAAACCAATCCATCTCTAGAACTAATCCATCTCTAGAACCAATCCAACTCTAGAATTAATCCTTCTTTAAAACCAATCCATCTCTAGAACCAATCCCTTGAAGCAATTCTTCTTTAGAACCATCCCATCTCTAGAATCAATACATCTCTAGAACCAATCCATCTCTAGAACCAATTCTTCTGTAGAACCAATCCATCTTTAGAACCAATTCATCTCAAGAGCCAATTTATCTCTAGAACCAATCCTTCTATAGAACCAATCCAACTCTTGAATCAATTCTTCTCTAGAACCAATTCATCTATAGAACCAATCCTTCCTTTGAACAAATCTGTATCTAGAACCAATCCATCTCTAAAACCAATCCATCTCTAGAACCAATCCTTCTCTAGAACCAACCCTTCTCTAGACCCAATTCATCTCTAGAACCAATTCATCTGTAGAACCAATCCTTTCTAAGAACCAATCGATATATAGAACCAATTAATTTCTAGAACCAATCCATCTCTAGAACCAATCCACCTCTAGAACCAACCCATCTCTAGAAACAATCCATCACTAGAACCAATTCATCTCTAAAACCAATTCTTCCTTAGAACCAATCCATCTCTAGAACCAGTTCATCTCTAGAACCAATCCTACCTTAGAACCAATCCTTCCTTAGAACCAATCGATCTCTAGAACCAATTCATCTCTAGAACCAATCCATCTCTAGAACCAATTCACTTCAGGAACCAATCCCTCTTTAGAACCAATCCATCTCTAGAACCAATTCATCTCTAGAACCAATCCTTCCTTAGAACCAATCTATCTCTAGAACCAATCCATATCTAGTACCAATTCATCTCTAGAACCAAACCTTTCTTAGAACCAATCTATCTCTAGAACCTCTTCACCGTTCCTGTCTTCATTTAAGTCGAATCCAATAGTATGTTTGTTGGTTAATTAGTGTCAACAGTTTCACAACTTTAGCTAAGCTCAATATAAGTGCGGGCCAACATAGGATACAGGGGCGGGTCAGTACACGCTACCATCTGGCATGCCGGTACAAGCTGGGTCAGCCCTGTTCGAATTCAAATTTACTCTAGTCCAGAGTGCTCTAGAACCAACCCATCTGTGTGTTTATGTATAGGACCGACCAAGTTGAATATCTAGGATGGACGCAGATGATAAAACCCAGGTCTGTTTCCTCGAGTGCTTCTATGTCAAGAATAAAATTCAAGGAAAAGTTTGTTTACAATTCAGTACAGGAGTCTGGGTTTCAGGTATAATAATACTTATAATAACAATAATAATAATAATAAAATCAATAACAGTAAAAATAATAATAACACACCAAGGATGTACTGCAATATATGAACAATGTTGTGTTCTGGGTACGGCAGGACAGTGTACTGAAATATATGAACAATGTTGTGTTTAGGGTACGCCAAAGATACTGTACTGCAATATTTGAACAATGTTGTGTTCTGGGTACGGCAGGACAGTGTACTGAAATATATGAACAATGTTGTGTTTAGGGTACGCCAAGGACAGTGTACTGCATGGTTTCTGTAAATACTATTCACCAGACAAAAAGCTGACCCATGCCGGAATGACAAGGAATGGAAAATTGTTCGGAACCTGTTGGAAATTTTTGCCAGGTTAGAATTTTAGAGAACTTGTTACCCAGAGATAAATTAACAATTAAAGATAGCACACTAGATGTCGTAGTTTTTTAGATTTAGAGGTTTTTCGTTCACCTGAGGCAGAAGTCCAAAGAAGTCTTGTAATTCAACGCAACATGCTCGTAACTCCTTTGGGCTTCTGCCTCAGAGTTATTGTGGACGAAAAACCCCTAAATCTTGAAAAGACGACATCATGTGTTCTATCGGTTATTGATATTCAATCTATGCTATTAAAAATAACAAAATAAGTTTCTAAATGATTTTTTTATTATTTTTATTCCTTTTATAAATACAATGTTTAACTTTTAAGTTCAACTTTGAGAATATCGTACAGTACAGCTCAGTTAAACCTTCACCAACTTTAACTCTGTTGCCTATATTCGAAAATACGATCATGTTATTCTAACAAATTTTCTACCGTGAGACCATTAAAATTAATGAATGCAAAGACGATTTTTCAGCAAGCCAATAGTTTTACTGGTGGCTTAACTATCAACTTATTTTGTGAGTTAATGTATTTGTTTAATTACTGCGTTTGATTTTTGTTTATAGGATGATTTAAAATCATAACTTAGTCTCACAGTCGTCTTACTATTCCTTTGTATGGGTCTCACTGTAATTCTGTTGAATTCTTCTTTTTATCATTTTTGTATTTATTTGAACATTTTCTAGTTCTTTCCGAAAATAAATCTCTTAAATTGCACGATCATGGCTTATTTTATTAAATGCCAATCATCTTCAAGAAGAAGTGCAATGCAACACTTTTTGATGTGTTATTGTTTTGTGAATGCATTTTCCTCGTTATAAAGTTGCAAATAACAAGATGTTTTTTGGGACACCCTGTATCATATTTTAAACAAAGGCAAAACAAGTGAAAAAGAACAATAGGTTTTTTTTCGCTTGTTTTTTTTTTGTAAATTACTAATGCTTCTTTTTATAATTTACAAACTGTCCCTGTAAAAAATAAATTAAAATATAAGATGTAGCCTTTTTGGTAGAGGGAAATGGTTAATATGTACAGAACTACAGACCAAGCCTATGCTTGTTATAAGAATACGGTTATATAGTTTACACAAAAACTGTATTCCTAAAATAAATACAGAAACAGCCTGTACAGTGTACAGTATACAAGGTTCATAGTTAAAAGCATGATAAAACAAGATGTAAAATGGTATTTTCCACTGATACAAATATTTGTGTAATATACAGTGATACCCACAAAGGATGAGACTATAGAGACGATTGTTCAGAATTTGTGTAATCCATTATCTTGCAGTCAGGGTTACTTGTAGAGCCAAAACTGGTGTGTTTCTGTGCTTAATCCTTTAATAAACAATCAAAATTCAATTGAGTGCAGAAACCAAAAATCAAGCTTCAAATCGTCATATTTTTAGATTTTTGGGTCGTCTTTTCAGTTTCATCCTTTGTGGGTAACCCTGTATGTACCCAACTTTGCATGAAAACTAAACTTTCACTATAAAAACTTAACCCCACTCACCTAACAAATTTAAAACAAGCTAAGAACGTTACCGTGGTTTACTGAGTTCCCCAATGAAAATTTGATGGAAGTTATGATGATGATCGGATACCTTTAGAAAAGGCAATCTCCAATATTTTCATGAAAAATTTTTTTGACAAAGTTATGTATTCTTCTCTGGACAATCAACTTTATCTAAATGGTTTAATTAATGGTACTTTTAAAATTCAATTTAAAGAAATCTTTATTCGAAATAATTTTAAAAATTGCTTTGAAAAGTTTTCTTTCAACGCTTCCAGAATTACTTTTGTTTTTAACTTAAAAAAGAGTAAAAATTAATGACTAAAGACTAAAAACTTGATTTTTAACTTATCACACAATATCGTTTATTACTTTAGATATTTTTCCTGTTTTTTCATTAGGTTCCTTTCCTTTAAGTGCTATTCTAAAAATAGAGAAGCTATTCTAAAATTAGAAACAAAATATTCCAAAAATAGAAACAAAAACTTCAAGATGCGAAGCACATTTTAGTTTCTTCTGAAAAAAGTCACAAATTGGACTAGTAAAGATTAAAAAAGAATAATTGTTTACAATGTACACATGTTTGGTATCATAATTCATTAATCATAATCATATAATATTTTAGACTGAGGCAAAGCAAGTGAAAAAGACTAATAAGTTTTTTTCACTTGCTTTTTTGGAAATTGCTAATGTTTCTTTTTATAATTTACAAACTGTTCCTTTTAAAAATTAATTAAAATATAAAATGTAGCATTTTTGGTAGAGGGAAATGGTTAATATGTACAGAACTACAGACCATGCCTATGCTTGTTATAAGAATACGGTTATATAGTTTACACAAAAACTGTATTCCTAAAATAAATACAGAAACAGCCTGTACAGTGTACAGTATACAATGTACATAGTTAAAAGCATAATAAAACACAAACAACTTCGTATTTCACATCATAGATTATAGGAAGAATTATATCGAACTTCAGAAAAGGAACAAAGCAAAAAGGTCATCTAAGCAAATGCAATTTAGGATTTTAGGAACAACGTAAAAAAAAGGAACTAGGATAAGGGCGTACACACGGTTGGGGCAAGGGGCCAGTGTGGGGGCCTGTAATGGGGGGGGGGGCGTAACCGCCCTTGTTGATCATGACTAGCTTTTTGATCTTCTTTACATTTATAAGATATTGCTCACATACGGCATTCATTAAGTTAGCGTCCTTTCTGTTGGTTTTGGGATTTTCTTCCCTCACTATAGTTATTGAGCCAATCAGCATCGCAATGTTGGGGGTTTAAAAAATATTCCAATATTGTTTGATATACTAAAGTACTACTATTTAGTTGCACTCCGTTGACGTAAAAATTACGACTTTAGTTTCAAAACAGAATCTTTAATTTTAAAGAAAAGATACTAGAATATTTTATCTATCTTTAATTTTATCTTTGCAACCTGTTGGTGTTGCAAATATGAAATATACAAAGAAGAGTTTCAGAAAGTGATTAATTTCTTTAAGATTTGATTCTCAGAGTTCTTTTTAAAGGAGTTTGCCATAAGTTTATATTTTCTAATCCCTATATTCTTACAACCGAATGGTACAAACCTTGCTTGTTCATAAATAGAATATTCGATCTAACAGAAATTATCTATTACGATAGTTTGATATGAGTCGTTTTTAACAATTTTCTTCCAATAGAGGCAACAGAAGTAAGATTAGCATCAATCACCATCAAATATTTTTCGACGTAAGCCTATACCCCCATTCACTTTTCGCGAACACTCCCTTTAAGCAATCTTTAATATGTTTCTAGCTGATTAAAAATCAACTAATTAAAGGGAGTGACCGGCTATGAACTGAGTATGCAGTGTTGTGGAAAACTTCTTTCGGATTCATTTTAGACATATTAAACTTTTCAAAGATCTGTAAATGCTGAGTTTGATCGCAAATTCGACGTTCAAAACTCCTACTTTGAGGGTGGATACGTTTTCAAACTATTGAATAACGACGACATAAAATGTAACAAAAGTTCTACTCAAAAACTACTGACGTCATGTATAGGAACATGTTGAGAAAATAAAAAAAATAATCGTATCATTGGAAATAAGTAATCTTGTTAATTTATTAGTTTCTATTATCTCATTATTCTGGTTTCTCATTATTCACAAAGATTTTCGTAGATTTTCTAGAATTATTATTGAAAAGACGACATTTGAAGAATTTGAAGAAATCTACGAATAAATTCAAAGAAAATATGAAATTCAACATAATAATGAAAACGAAATAATCGATTTTATCATTGATTTATTGACGAATATTTTCCTAACCATCAAATCTATACTGTATAATTTTACTTTATTTTTCAAAGTCGTTATTTAATTTTTAAAAAACTAATTCTGAAACGTATCCACCCCCAAAGTAGAAGTTTTGAACGTCGAATTTGCGCTCAAACTCGGGATTTACAGATCTTTTAAAAGTGTTATATTTATCAAAAGAATCCAAAAGAAGTTTTCCACAACACTGCATACTCAGTTCAACCACCTTACATAGCCGGTCACTCCCTTGAAGTGAAAAGGATCTATAATTAAATGTACACTGCACTATTGCTATGGTTCATGTTCATTGAACTATATTCAAAATCATAATTAACTGCAATTTAACAGTCGTCATCCTATTCCATAGTTTTTTTTACTGAGATTAATCACTAATCAACTGAATAAAAAAAACACCGAAATAATTTTGAGAAAACTTTACGGGAGACTTTGTGAATTGTCAATCGTTTGTGGCACTTTTTAAAATTCATAGAATCATTAATACTTTTTTAGGTGGAGGTTTGGTGGTCGGTAGAGTTGATTCTGAAGGAGAATTTTCCGGACCTAATATTGCATATATTTACCCAGATTTCAGGTAATATTCAATACTTAATATAGCATATCTTTACCCAGATTTCAGGTAATATTTGAGACCTAATATTATATATATTTACCCAGATTTCAGGTAATATTCAAGACCTAATATTTTATATATTTACCCAGATTTCAGGTAATATTCAAGACTTAATATAGCATATATTTACCCAGATTTCAGGTAATATTCAAGACTTAATATAGCATATATTTACTCAGATTTCAGGTAATATTCAAGTCCTAATATTGCATATATTTACCCAGATTTTAGGTAATATTCAAGGCCTAATATAGCTTACCCAGATTTCAGGGAATATACAATACCTAATATTGTATATTTTTCCCCAGATTTCAGGTGATATTCAAGACCTAATATTGTTTATATTTATCCAGATTTCAGGTAATATTCAAGACCTAATATAGCATATATTTACCCAGATTTCAGATAATATACAAGACCTAATATTGTATATATTTACCCAGATTTCAGGTAATATTCAAGACCTAATATAGCATATATTTACCCAGATTACAGGTAATATTCAAGACCTAATATAGCATATATTTACCCAGATTTCAGGTAATATTCAAGACCTAATATAGCATATATTTACCCAGATTTCAGGTAATATTCAAGACCTAATATTATATATATATTTACACAGATTTCAGGTAATATTCAAGACTTACAATTTATATTTATCCAGATTTCTAGTAATATTAAAGACCCAATTTTGTATATATTTAAACTATTTATCCAGATTTCAGATAATATTCAAGACCTAATATTCTTTATATTTACGCAGATTTTTGGTAATATTCAAGACCTAATGATGTATATTTTTACCCAGATTTCAGGTAATATTCAAGACCTAATATTGTACATTTTTACCCAGATTTCATTTAATATTCAAGACCTAATATTATAAATATTTACCCAGATTTCAGGTAAATAATATTCAAGACCTAATATAGAATATATTTACCCAGATTTCAGGTAATATTCAAGACCTAATATTATATATATTTACCCAGATTTCTGGTAAATGATATTTAAGACCTATCATATATATTTAAATATTATATAGATAATATATGACAAGTTTAGACTCCATTTGTTGTTTTGATATTTCTTAAAAACAAAGGTTTAATATCTAATTCTTTTTTATATCTAATATTCTATATATATATATTTATATATTTTATATCTAAAATGGGGAAACAAATTATAGAAAAAAAAGATTTAATTTACAAACTATTTACTTTGAATATTGCTTAGCACTGGTCTTCTGGGAGTATTCAAGGAAGGAGATATGGTGACAGCACAGGCGGTCACATTACAGGGTAATCTATATATATATATACTTTGCTGTCTGTCTTTCTAATTGTCCGTCTGTCTGTATAATTGTATTCAATAAACGTTAAAACGGCTGAACCGATCGGACCCAAATCTGATATGAGAATTAACTAATTTTCCTTAAAAAATTAAGATTTTTTACAATCGACAAAAAACAACAAATCTGCGATTTTTTTGGTTAATTGTTTTTCAATTTAAGAAGAGAAAATGTGTATAAAAATTCAACATACAATTTAAAAAAAAAAAATTTTTCAATAAAATATTTAATTGATGAGAAATATCTTATATGGACAGTTATGCATACAGTGAATCCTAGATTTACATAGCAACAGTACTGGGATTCACTGTATAAGACTCTCCGTTTAAAGAGGGACCAGCCCTATTCACAATGGCTGGCGGTACTGTTAAAAGCTAAATGTGATCAATAATTTACCAGATAAATTCGGTTTTCTAGCTTTATGTGTGTTTGATTCTGTTAATATCTTCATTTTTTCTGAAGCAAAGAAATGCGCAAGTCATTTTTGTAGAGAACCCTCACAAAATAAAACACATGGATATTTAATTACTACTTTATAGAGGACGTGAGTCAGACTCTAATGAAAACGCATAAATAACTTCCAGTGTATATATTTCTTATAATTTATTACTAGAGGGTTCAGAATAATAGTTTATATCGAGATCACACTATCGTGTAGATGTTTATCAGTATACTATGCCCCGTATCCGTTCTATCTCATTCTGTTGAATCTTGTGGAACTTGTTTAACGCGGCCAGGCATCGTCTTCCACATAGGGAGAGGATACCGGTCTGGTCTGGTAACATTGTTTAAACGGCGGTAATTGCTGCAAGGACGCCAGGAACCATCAGATTTTTGAACCATATGAAGAGGTGAGGCCCAAGGACTATCAGACCGGCAGATAATCCCCGCCGATTCCAATTTTTGGAACTCAGCTTTAGCTTGTGCTAACTTAACTTGATCCAAACGGCGGGGGCGAGCATATAACAGTTGTCCTTTTGTTTCAATCACATGCTCCATGTTGTGTTCAGGGAGTTTACCAGGTGTTCATTGATTCCAGGCTGCAGGAAACTCATCCAGGAGAGAGGCAACATCAGGGGCGAGTTTACACACGGAGGCAACGGAGGAATCGGCGGGCGAAATCCTAGGCGGTGCAAGAGGTTCAAAGGAGAGATTTTGAAGAACTTGGCAGTTCTTGGTGTCAACTAGGAGGTCAAACTCTGCCAGGAAGTCTGCTCCCAGGATTGGTTGGTCCATGTCGGCGAGGAGGAACTGGAACTGGAAACGGCGGGAACCAAACTGTAGAGGAATCAATCTGGAACCCCAAGCTTTAGTTTGTCGTCCATCAGTCATTAGGGGTCGGGGGCCTGTCGGTGCAGCTGAGGAACGATGAGGAAACACAGATCTTGACGCTCCAGTGTCAACTAAATAATCACGGTTTGACAGGGCATCTTGAAGGTACACGAGATAACCGCCGACAGGAAGGCTGTTTAATTTTTCCTCCTCCCGTCGGCTCTGGCGTTTCCCTTGAAACTGCAAGGAGGGCGACAATTGTTGGCTGCAGGACCAAAACGTTTGTGGAAATAACACTCTGAGTTTGATGGACCTGGGGTTTGACTACGGCGGTTCGGTGATGGGCTTCTGCGGTCCTGAGTTCTACCACGTGATGGGGAAGATGTTGAGGTCAACGCTGTGGCTAGGAGGTGGTCGGTAGGAATAGCCTTCCTGGCGTCCCACAAACTATCGGCGTATAACGCCATTTCACTAGGGTTTTTGAATTCCCTGGAGACTAGATGGTCCCTCATCTCGACGGGTAATCTCTCCAGAAATAAACCTTGGAACAGGCAACCTGGTTTCTCGTCCTCTGGGAGAAGGGCCAACATGGCGTCCATGAGAGCAGTAGGGCGTCGGTCTCCCAGCCCAGGGTGATGAATTAGTTTGGAAACCTTCTGCCAGCGTGATAGAGTATACAAGGAGACAAGCTTGGCCTTTAAATCCTCGTAAGGGGTTTCTGAGGAGGCAGCAGAACCCATGATCAGGCCGCGTACCGAGACCATAATCTTCTGGGGAAGTTTCTGTACGATGTGGTCGAATTTGGTTTTTGACTGTGTGATTTGGGCGTTTCTGAAGGCCGCCTCTGCATGAGGGAACCACAGGTCGGGGTCCTCTGTCCAGAAATCCGGGAGCTTGGCAGAGACTTTGGCGACGAACTCGGTTGGAGTTTCTTTTCGGTCGGTCATGATGCTCGGATGTATCACTTAATGTTCAAAGTTCAAGAAAATCACGAAACTGGATAGCGTTTAACTGTATGTTCAAAGTCGGGGATCAACCAATATAGTGGACGTGAGTCAGACTCTAATGAAAACACATAAATAACTTCCAGTATATATATTTCTTATAACTTATTACTAGAGGGTTCAGAATAATACAGGGTGTCCCACATCATATTAGACCGAGAACTGGTCTAAATTACGATTTTTGGGACTAATTAGAAAATTTAATTAGAATGAATCATTTTGAAAAAAATATAAGGGTTACATAAGAATTTTCTTGCGGAAAATGATAAGTTTTTCGAGTATTAAGGGTTTATTTTGGTGTTAAAGATTGGAGAAAATCTGATATGATATGGGACGCTCTGTAGTTTATATCGAGATCCCACATGTAGATGTTTATCAGTACTATGCCCCGTATCCGTTCTATCTCATTCTGTTGAATCTTGTGGAACTTGTTTAACGCGGCCAGGCATCGTCTTCCACAACTTTATCAAAAAAGCTTTCAAGGGTACAGTTGGGTATCGGACATGTCACTTTAGCAATGGATGGAGGAGATGGAGGGTCACTTAACAATTATGTTTACTATCTTATAAAGCCAATAATTCGCGTATAGATTGAATTAAAGGTTAGAATTTAGAGTTCTAACTAGCTGAAGCTTTTTCAAAGTATTCTGAGAAAATACTTTAAGGTTTTCTTACACATTAATAGATTTAATTCCCCCCCCGTGCAAATTGCAACAATGTTTACATAATTTGTATTGAAAAAATAATATTAGGCCCACCATGCCTGCTTAGGTGAGTTGTGTGATTTTTTATAAATATTATTTGCAAATATTCGTAATTTATCTTAAATTGGCAAATACAAGGAATTCACTTTAATATTGCCTCTGATGTAAAATGACCCAGTAGTTGAAATATATAAAAATTAACGCATGGACATGACACCGCCCACGGGCTCCCGACACATTGAATTTATAAGCTAAAGGTGTAGAATGAGAGATAATAAACAGAATATGAGAGATAACAAGCAGAATGTGATAGATAATGAAGAGAATGTTACAGATAATGAACTAAATGTGACAAATAATCAACAGAATGTGACAGAAAATGAACAGAATGTGAAAGATAATGAACAGAATGTGAAAGATAATGAACAGAATGTGAAAGATAATGAACTAAATGTGATAAATAGTGAACAGAATGTGACAGATAATGAACAGAATGTGAGAGATAATGAACAAATGTTAAAGATGATGAGCAGAATGTGAGAGAAAATAAACAGAATGTAAGAGATAATGAACAGAATGTAAATGATAATCAACAAAATGTGACAGATAATGAACAGAATATGACAAACAATAAACAAAATTTCATAGACAGTTAAGAGAATGTAAATGATAGTGAACAGAATGTGACAAATAATGAAAATAATGTGACAGACAGATAATTAACAGAATGCAAGAGATAATAAACAGAATTTGACAGAAAATTAGCAGAATGTAACAGAAAATGAGCAGAACGTAACAAATAATAAACAAAAAGTGTCAGATAATGAACAGAATGTGACTGATAAAGAACATAGTGTGACAGATAATGAACAGAATTTGAGAGATAATGAACAGAATGTGACAGATAAAGAACATAATGTGACAGATAATGAACAGACGATGAGAGTTAATGAACAGAACGTGACAGATAATGAACAGAATTTGTGAGATAATGAACAGAATGTAACAGCTAATTAACAGGATATCACAGATAATGAACAGAATGTGACAGATGATGAACAGAATTTGACAGATAATGAACAGAATGTGACAGATAATGAACAGAATGTGACAAATAATGAACAGAATGTAACAGCTAATTAACAGAATATGACAGATGATTAACAGAATGTGACATAAATGAACAGAATGTGACAGAGAATGAACAGAATGTGACATAAATGAACAGAATGTGACAGAGAATGAACAGAATGTGACATAAATGAACAGAATGTGACAAATAATGAACAGAATGTGACAAATAATGAACAGAATGTGACAAATAATGAACAGAATGTGACATATGATGAACAGAATATGACAGATGATTAACAGAATGTGACAGATAATGAACAGAATGTGACAAAGAATGAACAGAATTTGACATATAATGAACATAATGTGGCAGATGATGAACAAATAGCTATTGTAAAATAGTGAAACAAAGTTTATTATTTCAAAAAAAGTTTTTTTAAATAATAAAAAAAAAAAATTTTTGTTTTAAATAAAAAATATTTCATTAAAAAATTTGTTTTTCTAAATATTTGAGTAGTACTGATAACCATGACGTCGTCTATATTTCTCACTTTTATTAAATATTAGCTCACACTTAGAAACACGTGAGAAATTCCTTTTAAAGGTAATGTAAGCGTAATTTTAAATGACCCTACATGCAAAGATAGCAATGCCCGTCGACGATTTACAACGGCACTTTTGATACTTTAATCTGGTCGAGAGATTTTCTTACTGGAAAAGTGTTTATGAATTTCTCAATTGTTTCTTATAAGGAAAAAAGCGCAAATAATTTTTGCAGAGAAGCCACAAATGAAAATAAACAGTTGAAATAAACAAAAACATGCATATCTATATATATATACTTTGCTTGTCTGTTTGTTTGTTTGTATCCAATTGTACCCAGGGAAGGTTTCTGAATGATCAAAATTTCAAAAATTTGCCTCTATCAAAATTCGATTTTCATAAAATTTTTGAACATTTTTCAAATCTACAAGATTTTTGGATGATATCCGCGAAATTGTTTTTTGTATTTGTTTACAATGTACACGAAGAGAACATGTTCACAATTAAAGTAGAAGATTGGCGCGAAGCGCCCTACAAGCCAAGCCAAATTAATACTTCATCAGACAACGCTTTTAAGGGTATAGCCATCTTTGTATGAATGGTTACTTGAAATTATGCATACTGTCTCTTTAACCCTATTCCCGCTGGGGGGGGGTCAATTTGACCCCCCCCTGTAGTTTTTTTTACATAACTCAAAAAGTATTGGTCTGAGGCTGTTGAAATTTTCTGACTTTTCTTACATACCCAAAGCCCTCCCTTTAGGCCTAAAACCGGGCTTTAATACTAACTGCCTGAGTCCTCAGGCACACTGCCTGAATGACTGCTTTTGCCTGTAGCAAACTAAATCTTTGTTTTGACCCACTTTCACTTGTCAGATTTTGATAAAATTTAGCTTTTTGGAAAGCCTATGACATAAGGAAACGGATTGCACAAGTTTTGCGAAAAAAAATTGCACATTTTTTGCAAACAACCTGTCAAAGGAAATTTGCACATTTTTAGTTTTTCTTGATTAAAAATCAGGTTATTTAAAATTTTGCAAAAATTTTTGCATATTTGAAATGGCATGGTCAAGGGCTTTTCAAAAATGTATAATTTGTCATTTTTTGGACAAATTTTTTTTTGCAAACATTTTTACTATAAAACTGGATTTTGCGATAAAAAAATCAATTTTCGCAAATTTGCAAATTTTTTTGCAGATTCTAAAAGTAGAGCACAAGAGCTTTCTAATGATGTATCATTTGTCATATTTGGACATAAAACATGGGATTTAGAGGGGGGGGTCAAATTGACCCCCCCCCAGCGTATACTGGTTTTCAAGTACCCCAGCGGGGATAGGGTTAAATCAGTTCTAATACGACTTCTCTTTTAGATTTACGGACCGAGTATAATTGTATAAAAGTTCCAGTTTTTTCAACACCTAAAGAAGACATTTTCAGGTAAGAACATGTGAAATCTTTTATCTATACATTATTCGACATACGCACCAGGCTATTAGGACGCTTCGCGCCCATCTTCCAGCGCCATTGTGATTTGTGAACATGTTCTCTTTGTGTACATTGTAAAATAAAAACAAACAAAAATTTCGCGGATTTTATAAAAAAAATTTGTGGCTTTTCAAAATTTTCAGAAATAGATATTTTGATGGAGGCAAATTTTTAAAATTCGATCATCCATAAACCTTCCCTGGGGTTACGCGAGGTCCCACACAAAATTTGGACTCGATCGGTTCAGCCGTTTTGACGCTTATTGGATACAAACGGACAGACATACAAACAAACAAGTGGCAAATATTGTGACTGAACATTATATTTGTAACCCTGAACATACTTAACTATATTACGTTGTACATTGTCTGTAAATTATAATGCGCTTGTAAATAGCTATACGTCAAACCTGTATTGTGATAAGCTTAACTAAACAGCTACGTAACAGGATTAGCTTAATTACGTTGTATATATTGATGTAAAACTTGTAATTACGTCGATTAACTTTAACCTGTTATATAAAACCTCAAATACATTTAGTTGTAATAGACTCTTGAACGATTATCAATCAAGAGTAATTGTTCCTCATTTAGCGAATGAGAAACCCCCTGAGATCATGTCCGAGTTGAGGCATTGATAGTTTATGAGATCATGTCCGAGTTGAGGCATTGATAGTTTATGAGATTGTGTCCGAGTTGAGGCATTGATAGTTTATGAGATCATGTCCGAGTTGAGGCATTGATAGTTTATGAGATTGTGTCCGAGTTGAGACATTGATAGTTTATGAGATCGTGTCCGAGTTGAGGCATTGATAGTTTTTGAGATCTTGTCCTAGTTGAGACATTGATAGTTAAAAGATCGTGTCCGAGTTGAGGCATTGATAGTTTATGAGATCTTGTCCGAGTTGAGACATTGATAGTTAAAAGATCGTGTCCGAGTTGAGGCATTGATAGTTTATGAGATCTTGTCCGAGTTGAGAAAGATCGTGTCCGAGTTGAGGCATTGATGGTTTATGAGATCTTGTCCGAGTTGAGGCATTGATAGTTTATGAGATCTTGTCAGAATTAAGACATTGATAGTTAAAAGATCGTGTCCGAGTTGAGGCATTGATAGTTTATGAGATCGTGTCCGAGTTAAGAACTTGATAGTTTATGAGATCTTGTCCGAGTTGAGGCATTGATAGTTTATGAGATCATGTCCGAGTTGAGGCATTGATAGTTTATGAGATCTTGTCCGAGTTGAGACATTGATAGTTAAAAGATCGTGTCCCAGTTGAGACATTGATAGTTCATGATAATGATAGATCATGTCCGGGTTGACATTGATAGTAAAGTGAGATCAAAGTTGTACCTGGATTTATACAGGTCTGAGAGACTCTTATGAAGTAGGGCATTTACTACTAACAGACAGACAAGCAAAATATATATTGATATAAACTTGGGAACCAAGCTTTGACTGATAACTCAACTCTTGCTGAAAAAAAGTGAACTCACTCAAATGAAAAATTTCAAGCCAAGCTAAGAACATTCCCGTGGCTCTACCGAGTTTCCTAACCAAATTTGAGACAAATCGGTCAGCGGGGTTCTTGAGTTCTGACCTGACATACAAACAAACTGACTAACAGAGGGACAATTAAATATTACTACTTTATATATACAATAAAGTAAAATCGTAAATTCATAAAAACAGTGGAAGTAACTTTTTGTAACCTGGGCAGTATCTGGGTTGGCAAGCTAGTTATACATATAGTACTAATCTCTGTTTGTCTGTCTGTCTGCTTGTTTTTCCGACTTATGATTCTAATTAATCAATAGATTTTGTTTAACGACTTTATCATATTTTTAAATTCTTGGAAAAATCTTCAATAAGCTTTATTGAAAAAAAAACATCATTAATTTTAATTTAATAATTAGTTTCTCTTTTGTATGATTTCTTTTCCTTTTCTTTAGTTGATTTTGATTTATACAGACGATGAAAATAAAAAAGATTTTCTAAGAAAATTTTTCAAATTAATCAAATTTAAATTTATTGTAATACTTTTAGATCTAAAGAGCAAGAAAATGCACGTTGGCACTTATAGAATATTTTTAAAACTTAAACCCTTAAAAAGACGTGGGGGGGGGGTCAGATTGACGTCCCTTCCCTCTAAAGCAGTACTAGGGTTAAAGTTTTTTTTAACCTGTTTAGTACAGTGATAACTAGAAAACTCCGGAATAGAAAGACGACTTTTAGACTAATTTTTTACTTTAATAGTTCAATAAGCATTGAACACCGCAATTTTTTAGTGTAAAAAGACCCATTTCACCTCAATAGTTATTTAATATGTGTCTAGTAAAACTGTATGCTTTGTAATAAATAAAGTATTGCTATATATAGGTTATCACTGTAAAAAACAAATATTAAAAATATTTTAGACTTGAGAAATCTACAACTACTTGGCTTACCGAGAATACGATGTTAGGTAAGAAATGGAATTTTTAATAAGATATATTTCCTGAGAATTACGACTAAAGGTTTCTTAGTTTTGCAATTTTGGTTTGAAGAAATCCGATTGTTTAATAATAGAAGACCCCTCACAACTTGTTCGTAATAACAAACTATTATAGATATAACCAAAGTAGAGCCAAAATCATTTTACCTTCTTTAAAAAAAACTTCAGGGCCTTTTGTTCTTGTTCTTGTTATCTGTTATGATAGACACCGGATAGCAACAAAGAATTAGACTTTAAAGGTAGTGTTCTCGAAAAATAAAAGGGGGTATCGGCTTACGTCGAAAAAAATTCGATGGTGATCACTACCAATCTTACTTCTATCTGTTGCGCCTATAAGGAGAAAATTGTTAATAATTACTCATACCGTAGAACGTAGCGTCCATACATATTCAGACAGTTGCAATATTTGACTCAAATTGTAAAAAAAAAATTAATTCTAGGCAAATCATTCAGATATTTAAACATAGAATCATCGATTTTTTTTCGACACATTCTTGTAGAGTTGATATTTCATAATATTTTTATTTGTTTTATATACAATGCAATTTAAACGATGATTAGTTGACCGCCAGGTGTCTCTACTCTCAATTTTCTGCATGGTTCCACATGGAAGAGACACTTAGCAACTTTCTGAATTTGTATGGACGCTATGCTCTTCGGAATGACTAATTATTAACAATTTTCTTCTTAGGCGCAACAGATAGAAGGAAGGTTAGTAGCAATCTCCATCGAATATTTGTCGACATAAGCTAATACCCCATTCGTTTTTCGCAAACACTCCCTTTAACGACAATTTAAAATCTTCATGACAATTTAAAGAGTTTTATTTTTTGCCTCAGAAATAGTCCATGCTATGTTTGTGGAAAATGAGTAAAGACGGTTTACGCCGCGAGAGAACATAAATAAAAAAAAATTTAGGACATATTTGAGCTCTTTTCCTTCTACTTCTATTAACTAAGCCAATAAACTAAGGTTTAAATGTTGATTAGAGGATCCCTATGAGAAGTTGACAGTTTATGTGAAGACCTCGAATACACCAGGGGCGTCTGATGGACTCTTTGCTGCAAGGTTGGTAGTTCAATGTATTCTGGGACCAAATTTGATGAAAATGCAGGGTCGCTGAACTGCATAATGCCAGTTAAAATTTGAATCAACGACTCAAATCCTTCCAAAATCTTTAACTTTCAATTGGTGGTTCATATCTGAACTGCCAATAGGTTCTCAAACGATGTTGCTCAAATTCATTTAACAAACCCTTATTATAGAAGCATTTCATAGATTTTCAAATTTCGAATAGGGCTGGGCGCGTTCCTGGTGGAACGATCATTCTTTCCCGAGAACGAACGGAACGATCAAGAACAATCCCATCGTTCCGAAAAAAAACGAACGCTTAGTATTTGAACGATTAGTAAAAGAAAGGAATGGAACAGAGCGGGAATTGCTTGAAAAGAACGGTTAAAATTATTAATGCGTTCTTATTATCAAGAATTCGTTCTAAGTTGGGAATGCATTGTTACAGAAGGATATTTCTGTAATCAATCATCCATGTCACACAAAAAAGCTATTTAACATATTTATGTTTTTTTGCTTGTGCCAAATTCGGCAAAAAGCCTAATTTTTCAATTCTTAAAGAGGATGAATCAATTTAAAAAATTTCTTTTTCTTTAGTCGTCTTCAAACGTTTTAACAGTTTTCTTACTAGAGACCTGAAATGTAATACGATTGCTGCTTTCTACAATGGGATCCGGAAACAGAGACCGCCTGACAGCGCCTCCACGTGGCAGGATCAGGAATCAATTAATTGCAATTTTCGCGGGTTTTTTGCAGGAAAATTTGTCTAGCTAGCCTAGCTATACAAATTATAAGGCGGGAGGGTATTTCGAAGAAAGAAGATTTGGTAAAAAAATAAGAAATACAAAATAGGGGTTTCAAGTTTCCTTTCTCAACGAAGAAAATTCTCTCAAATACAAATAATTTTAATTTATTGATTGATATGTATAGGACAATGCATACAAAATATTTGACCCAACCAACAAAACTGGTGTCATAGATATTCTTCCTAAACATCAGGTATAAATCAATTGAGCTAAATATTTTTTGGCATTTTCTCCGGTAAAAATTAAGTTTAAAATCTAAAATTTGATTTTACATTTTGACAAAGATTTATCTCCAAAAATAAGGGATAAAAATAATTAAAAATCTCTAGGAAATTTATTGCATTTTTTGCAATTTTTTTTTATCAATACTGCTTCAACATTTTCTAATTTGTAACTATTATATCTGAGATTAAATAGTTATAAACACCAGTTCAAAAACAAAATCGACATGTATTATTAACTAGGCTTTAAGAGCGCTTCGCGCCCATCTTCTATTTCAATTGTGAATATGTTCTATTTGTAAACATTGTAAAACAAAAAAAAATCGCTGGTTTTCTCAAAAATCTAATTTGGATAGAAGCAATTGTTGAAAATTCGATCATCCATAAACCTTCCCTGGGGTCACGCGAGATTCCACACAAAGTTTGGGTCCGATCGGTTCAGGTTGACGTTTATAGGATACAAACAAACTGCTTTAAACAAACAGACAGGCACCAATACGTCCAAATGCACTATCCGGACAAAAAATTGTCTGACTAGCGTTACACACCATACGAACTTCTTTAATAATAACTGTATCACTATGAAAATTTGCAATATTGCTAAAATGTAGGTTTTAAACTGAATTTTAAAATTTCGTATCTCTAATGCCATTTTAAAAAATGACCACGTAGCGCATATCTGAATGCGTTTTGCGCTGTCAAGCCTTTTTCCGCACGTTTTGCGCTGTCACGACATTTTATTTTCTTTCATATGTACGCTGTCTGGACATTTTTTTTTAGTGGTGTATCAAAACGTATTTAATCGAAAACTATCTTATATGTCTAATTTCATTTCTAGTCAGAACATTATCATCGACGTAATAGATGAATCTACACCTTGAAAAAGGTTTAATACATAATATAATGTAGATATCTTTATTAAAGGGTAAAAAAATTATAGGGGAGGGGAAAAATGAGCTTTTTAGCTAATTAGAACTAATTAGATCCTTGCCGAGGCAGAAGTAAAACAAAGGATTTGAGTTTTTGCCACAAACTCAGAATTTGTAATCCCTATATCTTTGCAACCCAGTGCCGTAGACCTTAGATATTTCAAACTACGAATTCTGGTAGATCAAATAATAAAAGATATAGGAATAAGAAAATTTGATATTATGGCAAGAACTCTATTATTTTAGAAATAATAGAGAAAGGCAAAGTTCTAATTGAAATTAAATAATGATAAAAAGTAAAAATATCTAATTTTAAGATGTCTGAAACCATGATTCTAATAGAGAAATCAGGATGAAAAGTTAAAAAAGTAATTTGAAAATTTATAGCTGTGGAAAGTTACTCCTAGAATTCGAGTGAAAATTTATCTGAAATCAGGAGACCTTTCTTGATCCTTTTAGTAAAACCTACTTCTGGTTTAAATCAGCTGTGTTGAATGATAACTTTTCATATCTTTTCTTTACATTTCTTAACAGCTTGTATCAAATTATAATCATAGTTAAGGGGAACCAACCCTGCTTCAAAAAATGTAAAATCAACTGGTAAAATAAAATTCTACCATGGATAAGAAAAAACTCAACATAAGATGAGGAAGGGACCCTAGTCTAAGATAAGCTGAAAAACCGAACCTAGTCTAGGATTTAAAAAGGAGAAAACCCAAACCTAATATAAGAGAAAAATAATAAAACTAATAGATGTGTATTAGGTTTGTTGTATCTTTTTATTTGAAAGAAAAATGTGTGCATTTTTATACATCTTATCGATCCTATCAATCTTATCCATCTAATCCATCCTTCCTCTTCCATCCTAGCTCTTTATCAATCCTTACTCTTTCATCCTAGCTCTTCTATCCTAGCTCTTTATCCATCCTAGCCTTTTAATCATTCTTTCTTTTCATCAATCCTTACTTTTTCATCCTAACTCTATATTCATCCTTACTCTTCTATCCTAGTTCTTCATTCATCCTTACTCTTTCATCCTTACTCTTTATTCATCCTTACTCTTCAATCCTAGTTCTTCATTTATCCTATCTATCCTATCCATCCTTACTCTTACATCCTAGCTCTTTATCCATCCTTACTCTTCTATCCTAGCTCTTTATCCATCCTTACTGTTTCATCCTTGCTCTGTATCCTTCCTTAGTCTTCCATTCTAGCTCTTTATCCATCCTTTCTCTTCCATCCTAGCTTTTTATCCATCCTTACTTTTTATCAATCCTTACTTTTTCATCCTAACTCTTTATTCTTACATTTTCATCCCAGCTCTTTATCCTTCCTTACTCTTCCATCCTAGCTCTTCATCCATTTTTACTCTTCCATCCTAACTCTTTATTCTTTCTTACTCTTCCATTCAAGCTCTTTATCTATTCTTACTCTTCCATCCTAGCTCTTCATAAATTCTTACTCTTCTATCCTAGCTCTTAATTCATGCTTACTTTTCCATACTAGCTCTTCATCCATCCTTAATCTTCTATCTTAGCTCTTTACCCATCCTTAATCTTTCATCCTTGCTCTTTATCCTTCCTTACTCTGCCATCCTAGCTCTTCATCCATCCTAGCTTTTTATCCATCCTTACTTTTTATCAATCCTTACTTTTTCATCCTAACTCTATATTCATCCTTACTCTTCTATCCTAGTTCTTCATTCATCCTTACTCTTTCATCCTTACTATTCCATCCTAGCTCTCTATCCATCCTCAACCATCCCATCCATCCCATCCATCCCATCCATCCCATCCATCCCATCCTTTCGTATTTCCCCTTGTCTCGTTTTTTTTTGTTGGACTATAATACATGTTAAATATAAAAGTAAATAACAATAAGCTACTTAAGCTTTCTTGGATGGCTTTAAATTAAAGGGCATTATTTCTTAACTGAGTCTATTTCGAAAAAGTCGGGACAAAGAAACTGAATATTTGCCACAAACTCTGATTTTCCAATCCCATATCTTTGCAACCCAATTCACATTTGAAATTTAAAAATATGAATTCTACTATAGATCAAATTTAAGACATATCAAAGGTTTACACGTTGTCAGGTTGCAAAGATTTATCGATTAGACCATTTGAGTTTGGGGCTAGAACTCAGTTTTAAATAGGGAACAAATTTAAGTTGTGAGTTGAAAAGGATAAACCAATGTTAAAATATGTCCTGACCCCCTCCCCCCCCCTCCCCATAGAGTGCGGTAACATGAGATCATATGTGTATATGTACAGGGGTAAACACAAATATGATTCCCAAAAATCAAATGAGAAAAATTCAAATTTTTGTTTAAATAGATATTTAGCTTTTGCTTTATAAGGATATATTCAAACATTTCCAATTTTTACTTGAGCTATCATAACCTAAAAAAGAGGAATGGGCGGGAAATTAAGAAGAATCTAAGCCAACGGGGGGGGGGGGGGGGTAATTCAACACATTTAATAGATGTCTGAAGAAGTAGGAATGAATCTGTAAAAACTACAGTGGTAGGCGATACTATCAATATAACGAAGACAACTTTTTTTTTAAAAGTTTTAATTGTTAACAAGTTTTTTTTCGTATTACAAGCGTACACGTAATTAAAGAGAAGTTTTTTAATTGCCAGGAACTTTTTGTTTTTGTGTATCCATGCTGTTTAAAATCTTAATATAAATCCAAATTTAAACTGAAAGTCGTCTTCATTTTATTGATTTAATCGCTCACCACCGTGTTATATTTGAAGTCGAAAGTTCGATCAAACGTTTCTAATGGTTATTTTACCTCGAATATAACATTTTAAATATTCACGTTTAAATCCCTGCCCTGCCTCTAAATCTTGGACCTTTTCTGTTTGTTCACGCCCC